AGAGTTATATTGATAAACTGTAGACCACACTATCTACCAAGAGAGTTTTCATCTATATTCTTCGTAGCTGTCTATTTACCACCACAAAACGATGCTGGCACTAAGACCGCACTCAATGAACTGTATACAGCCATAAGCAAACAGGAAAACGCTCATCCAGAGGCGGCGCTTCTAGTGGCCGGGGACTTTAATGCAGGGAAACTTAAATCCGTTTTACCTCATTTCTACCAGCAAGTTAAATGTGCAACCAGAGGGGAAAAAAACTCTAGACCACATTTACTCCACACACAGAGACGCGTAAAAAGCTCTCCCTCGCATCCATTTGGAAAATCTGACCATAATTCTATCCTCCTGATTCCTGCTTACAAGCAAAAACTAAAGCAGGAAGCACCAGTGACTCGGTCAATAAAAAAGTGGTCAGATGAAGCAGATGCTAAGCTACAGGACTGTTTTGCTAGCACAGACTGGAATATGTTCCGGGATTCTTCCGATGGCATTGAGGAGTACACCACATCAGTCACTGGCTTCATCAATAAGTGTATCGATGACGTCGTCCCCACAGTGACAGTACGTACATACCCCAACCAGAAGCCATGGATTACAAGCAACATCCGCACTGAGCTAAAGGGTAGAGCTGCCGCTTTCAAGGAGCGGGACTCTAACCCGGAAGCTTATAAGAAATCCCGCTATGCCCTCCGACGAACCATCAAACAGGCAAAGCAGGACTAAGATCGAATCGTACTACACCGGCTCCAACGCTCGTCGGATGTGGCAGGGCTTGCAAACTATTACAGACTACAAAGGGAAGCACAGCCGCGAGCTGCCCAGTGACACGAGCCTTCCCAGACGAGCTAAATTACTTCTATGCTCGCTTCGAGGCAAGTAACACTGAAACATGCATGATCAGAGAGACAGCGCCGGAGAAGATGGCTGCCGTTTTACAGCCCTCTAACCAATTGTACTATTATGTGTGTTTTTCCGTGTTATTTGTAATTTATTTTGTACATAATGTTTCTGCCATCGTCTCTTATAACCAAAAAGAGCTTCTGGATATCAGGACAGCGATTACTCACCTCGTATTGGACGAAGATTTTTTCTTCAACGAGGCGGCCGCGAAGGATATCATACAGACACCCGACAAGGCCCAAATCCCCGTCATTCGCGTGAGGAAGAGACGGAGATATCGTGGACGTAGATCGGGGTGCCTTGTAAGGATCCGACGGCGAGCGAGTAAACTGCCTCTTCCATCAATCCTATTAGCCAACGTTCAATCATTTGAAAATAAATTGGATGACTTAAGATTACGGTTATCCTACCAACGGGACATTAAAAACTGTAATATCTTATGTTTCACCGAGTCGTGGCTGAACGACGACATGGATATCATTCAGCTAGCGGGCTATACGCTACATCGGCAGGATAGAACGGCTGACTCCGGTAAGACAAGGGGTGGCGGTCTGTGTATATTTTTAAACAACAGCTGGTGCACAAAATCAAATACTAAGGAAGTCTCGAGGTTTTGCTCGCCTGAGGTAGAGTATCTTATGATAAGCTGTAGACCACACTATTTACCAAGAGAGTTTTCATCTATATTTTTCATAGCTGTCTATTTACCACCACAAACCAATGCTGGCATTAAGATTGCACTGAATGAGTTGTACAAGGCCATAAATCAACAGGAAAACGCTCATCCAGATGCAGCGCTCCTAGTGGCCGGGGACTTTAATGCAGGGAAACTTAAATCCGTTCTACCTAATTTCTACCAGCATGTTAAATGTGCAACCAGAGGAAAAAAAACTCTAGACCACCTTTACTCCACACACAGAGACGCATACAAAGCTCTCCCTAGCCCTCCATTTGGCAAATCTGACCATAACTCTATCCTCCTGATTCCTGCTTATAAGCAAAAACTAAAGCAGGAAGCACCAGTGACTCGGTTAATAAAAAAGTGGTCAGATGACGCAGATGCTAAGCTACAGGACTGTTTTGCTAGCACAGACTGGAACATGTTCCGGGATTCTTCAGACAGCATTGAGGAGTACACCACATCAGTCACTGGCTTCATCAATAAGTGCATCGATGATGTCGTCCCCACAGTGACCGTACGTACATACCCCAACCAGAAGCCATGGATTACAGGAAACATCCGCACTGAGCTAAAGGGTAGAGCTGCCGCTTTCAAGGAACGGGACTCTAACCCGGATGCTTATAAGAAATCCCGCTATGACCTCCGACGAACCATCAAACAGGCAAAGAGTCAATACAGGACTAAGATTGAATCGTACTACACTAGCTCTGACGCTCGTCGGATGTGGCAGGGCTTGAAAACTATTACAGACTACAAAGGGAAGCACAGCCGCGAGCTGCCCAGTGACACAAGCCTACCAGACGAGCTAAACCACTTCTATGCTCGCTTCGAGGCAAGCAACACTGAAGCATGCATGAGAGCACCAGCTGTTCCGGATGACTATGTGATCACGCTCTCCGTAGCCGATGTGAGTAAGACTTTTAAGCAGTTCAACATTCACAAGGCCGCAGGGCCAGACGGATTACCAGGACGTGTACTCCGAGCATGTGCTGACCAACTGGCAAGTGTCTTCACTGACATTTTCAACATGTCCCTGACTGAGTCTGTAATACCAACATGTTTCAAGCAGACCACCATAGTCCCCGTGCCCAAGGACTCTAAGATAACCTGCCTAAATGACTACCGACCCGTAGCACTGACGTCTGTAGCCATGAAGTGCTTTGAAAGGCTGGTCATGGCTCACATCAACAGCATTATCCCAGAAACCCTAGACCCACTCCAATTTGCATACCGCCCCAACAGATCCACAGATGATGCAATCTCTATTGCACTCCACACTGCCCTTTCCCACCTGGACAAGAGGAACACCTACATGAGAATGCTATTCATTGACTACAGCTCAGCATTCAACACCATAGTGCCCTCTAAGCTCATCACTAAGCTAAGGATCCTGGGACTAAACACCTCCCTCTGCAACTGGATCCTGGACTTCCTGACGGGCCGCCCCCAGGTGGTAAGGGTAGGTAACAACACATCTGCCACACTGATCCTCAACACGGGGGCCCCTCAGGGGTGCGTGCTCAGTCCCCTCCTGTACTCTCTGTTCACCCATGACTGCATGGCCAGGCACGACTCCAACACCATCATTAAGTTTGCCGACGACACAACAGTGGTAGGCCTGATCACCGACAACGATGAGACAGCCTATAGGGAGGAGGTCAGAGACCTGGCCGTGTGGTGCCAGGACAACAACCTCTCCCTCAACGTGACCAAGACAAAGGAGATGATTGTGGACTACAGGAAAAAAAAGGAGGACTGAGCACGCCCCCATTCTCATCGACGGGGCTGTAGTGGAACAGGTTGAGAGCTTCAAGTTCCTTGGTGTCCACATCACCAACAAACTATCATGGTCCAAACACACCAAGACAGTCGTGAAGAGGGCACGACAAAGCCTATTCCCCCTCAGGAGACTGAAAAGATTTGGCATGGGTCCTCAGATCCTCAAAAAATTATACAGCTGCACCATCGAGAGCATCCTGACTGGTTGCATCACCGCCTGGTATGGCAACTGCTCGGCCTCCGTCCGCAAGGCACTACAGAGGGTAGTGCGTACGGCCCAGTACATCACTGGGGCCAAGCTTCCTGACATCCAGGACTTCTATACCAGGCGGTGTCAGAGGAAGGCCCTAAAAATGGTCAAAGACTCCAGCCACCCTAGTCATAGACTGTTCTCTCTGCTACCACACGGCAAGCGGTACCGGAGTGCCAAGTCTAGGTCCAAGAGGTTTCTAAACAGCTTTTACCCCCAAGCCATAAGACTCCTGAACATCTAATCAAATGGCTACCCAGACTATTTGCATTGCCCCCCTACCCTTCTTTTACGCTGCTGCTGCTACTCTCTGTTTATTATCTATGCATAGTCACTTTAATAACTCTACCTACATGTACATATTACCCCAATTACCTCGACTAACCGATGCCCCCGCACATTGACTCGGTACTGGTACCCCCTGTATTTAGCCTCGCTATTGTTATTTTTACTGCTGCTATTGTATTTTTTGGTGATTTTTTTGGGTATTCTTTCTTAAAACTGCATTGTTGGTTAAGAGCTTGTAAGTAAGCATTTCACTGTTGTATTCGGCGCATGTGACAAATATTTTATTTGTATTTTCTATTTGATTTATTCCCTATATAGTGTACTGCTTTTGACCAGGGCCCAAAGCAGTGCACTATATAGGAAATAGGGTGACATTTGGGACACATCCTATACCTGACACTGAATGATTGGTTAGAAGCAACTTCATCCTACAGTACTGTATTTGAGGGTAAATGTGTCCATACCTTAGGTTTCTCATCCACAATCTGCTGTCTGATGTCCTTGTGCTTCTCCAGTAGTCTCTCCATTCTCTTAAGCTGAGCATCCTCCAACTACACAGACAGAGACAGGGCCAGGCTGTAGCCACTATGCAATACATACCACATAACAAACACAAACACATCCACATGCCTGCATGGACACACGCACGCACACGCACACGCACACACACACACACACACACACACACACACACACACTTACCCGTTTGATATACTGCACTACCTCATTGACAAATGACCTGTTGATTTCCAGCTTCTCTCTGTAAACATAGAAAGATGTCAGCTCTAACCTCTCTTCAGGATTCCTCAAATCAAACCATTACTTTAACAGTCAACAGTCCTAACGTTCCTGGTTCCAATCTCACTCAAAGGACCATATAAAAGTCGGTAGGTCTGCCTGATGACCTATGACACTTACTAGCATAAAGTCGTTCTGTCAAAAATAACGGAATATTTGTATTCAATTGCATGTGTTTGGTCCTGTCATGATCATTAGTGAGATCAGTCAGTGAGGCATGAGTCTTCATCGCCATCTGGTGGCCTTGAGGAGCATGACCACTCATGTATTAGGAGGCCTCTCCCCAACCCCATGTACTTACTCTTCTGTCACGTTCTTGTTGTTGGCCTTTGCTTCATTAATCTTCTCCTGTCTTTTCTTGTCCATCTTCTTCTTTAGGTCTTTCTTTTCCCTTTGGAAAAATAGGAGGATAGTGAAACAAACAGCCCATGAAATACATGCATACATGAGCTTCTTGTGTGTGTGTGTGCGCTTTCTTACTTGTCACTGATGTCTCTGATCTTCTTCATCTGGGCACTCTGACACTCTTCGGCTATGGTTGTCAACTTCTCCACCAGCTAGAGATACACAGGAAAAATAACACTGGTTATCCTACAGTTTGTCTGCCTCATAGCATATGATAGCTGACTCATGCTTTCTGTTTAACTCAGGCATGACTTATCTGTTGACATTGGAGAATATAATTGGTCCAGTCAGTATGGTTCTATTCCTCATGGATAAACCCTGACACCTCATTCACACAAACTGTACACAGATCAGTTACTACACTCAGCCTTTCCATCTCCCATAGCAGTAGAGGAGCACTGGGAGATCTTTACACTGATCTAAGGTCAGCACAACAGAGTGAGTTTGGCCATAAAGCCCAGAGGGAGCCCAGTCATTAAACACAAGCCAATGCGAGTGTTATACTGAGTTGAGGGTTAATTCTGATTCAATGCAAATAATACATCTACTGTATGTAGTTAGGTACTCTGGTCTCTAGTATAACTCTGGATGAAGGTAGGGTTAGGTGTGTGTGTGTGTGTGTATGTGTGTGTGTGTGTGTGTGCCTGTACCATTTTGATGTGCTCTTTCTTCTGGTACTTCTGGCTGTAATACTGCTCCTGTCTCAGCGTGAGTAGCTGTTGTTGCTGCTTCTCCTTCAGCTCAGACAGTCTCTGACTGGACTCCTGGTCCAACACACACAGCTCCTGCTCCAGTGTCGACAGGGACTGCTCCAACCTGCTAAACACACACACACACACACACAAACACACACACAGTACACACTGAGGTTAGCACACACATGCAGGTAGATACGTGTTAACAAACATACACACACACACGCTCAATGCATACACACACACACAGACAGACAGACACACACACACACACACACACACACACAGAGTGTTATCTGTGGCCTGTGGAAGGCTCTAGCCAATGAGCATGCAGATGGAAGAGAGAAAACAACATGAATGGAGAAAGAGCAAGAGACAGACAGACAGACAAAGAGACATAGAGCGAGACACATAGTGAGAGGAATGGAGGGATACAGGGAGGAGGACTAAGAGGAAGAGGAGAGCAGGGCTACCTACCTTTTCTTACCATCTCGTTTGTGGCTCTTCTGCAGCGCGGAGTGCCTGCGCTGGTGCTGGTTCTGCAGCTCTGCAGCCCTGGCTGTGTGCTCCTTGATCAGCTCGCTGGTCTTACGGTGGTGTTTCCTTACTAACTCCTTCATCTCTTTATACTGCTTCCTCTGCTCCCTAACAAAGCCCTTCTGCTGTTTCAACTCCTCTACCGTCTGGGCCACCATCTCTGGAGGAAGGAGGGATGGAAAGAAGGGAAAGAGGGATGGATGGAGATAGGGAGAGGGGGAGGAAAGAGTGAGGGAGGGAGGAGGGAGATAAGGAGAGGGGAGGAAAGAGTGAGGGAATGTGGAAATAGGAGGGGGAGGAAGATAGGGAGGAGGTGGGAGGAGGAGGAGATCCTTCTCTTTTTTGAGGGAGTGAGGGAGTTGGTCCTTCTTTCGAGGGGGATCCTTGGGGGGGATGTGGATCTTAGGAGAGGGGGCTTCTTCTCTTTTTGGGAGGAGGGAGGGGGGAGAGGGGAGAAAGTCTTTGAGGGGGAGGATGATCTTTCTTTCTTTCTTGCTTTTTCGCTTTTGAGTGCTCCTCGTTCTTTCTTTCTTCTTTCTTTCTTTCTTCTTTCTTTCTTTCTTGTCCTTCTTTTTTTCGGCTCCTTCCTTCCTTCCTTTCCCTTTTCCTTGTTTCTGTTTGATTTAGGTTCTTTGGAGTGATGACATTGTGTATTTTGATCAATTACTTTCTACCTGTCAGTTTTTGCTCCTTTACAGATAGGGTGCACAATTCCGTGATGTTTCAGATTGGTGTCATGTATAGATAGACAAATGACCACACGTGTTCACTTAGCTTGTTACTGAGTCCTACTCCAGTCTTACCTGTGAGAACACTCTGAATGATGTCCTCAGTCTTCACTGCAGTTTTCACTGAACCTGATAAACAATATACACCTGTTAGTGCGGGTTTTGGCAGGTTATATCTGGCAACCCAAGTGGGTCGTAAATGTGTTGTGGACTGCCAAATGAAAGTTTACTGGTTGCCATATTGGAGTCACTGTCATTATACACTACATGGCTAGAAGTAAGTGGACACCTCTTCAAATTAGTGGATTTGGCTATTTCAGCCACACCCGTTGCTGACAGCCATGCAGCCATGCAATCTCCATAAACAAACATTGGCAGTAGAATGGCCTTATTGATGAGCTCAGTGACTTTCAACATGGCACCGTCATAGGATGCCACCTTTCCAACAAGTCAGTTCGTCAAATTTCTGCCCTGCTAGAGCTGCCCCGGTCCACTGTAAGTTCTGTTAAGGTGAAGTGGAAACGTCTAGGAGCAACAATGGCTCAGCCGCGAAGTGGTAGGCCACACAAGCTCACAGAACGGAACTGCCGAGTGCTGAAGCAGGTAGCGCATAAAAATGGTCTGTCCTCGGTTGCAACACTCACTACCGAGTTCCAAACTGCCTCTGGAAGCAACTTCAGCACAATAACTGTTAATCGGGAGCTTAATGAAATGGGTTTCCATGGCTGAACAGCTGCACACAAGCCTAAGATCACCATGCACAATGCCAAGCATTGTGGTGGTCCATACAGAGGTCCATACAGAAATGATTTGTCGAGATCGGTGTGGAAGAACTTGACTGGTCTGCACAGAGCCCTGACCTTAACCCCATCTAACAACTTTGGGATGAATGCTGACTGCAAGCCAGGCCTAATCGCCCAACATCAGTACCTGCCTCACTAATGCTTGTGGCTGAATGGAAGCAAGTCCCCGCAACAATGTTCAAACATCTAGTGGAAAGCCTTCCCAGAAGAGTGGAGGCTGTTATAGCAGCAAAGGGAGGACCAACTCCATATTAATGCCCATGATTTTGGAATGAGATGTTCAGGTGTCCACATACTTTTGGCCATGTAGTGTATATTGCTTGTTTGTTTGTTTTTTCCTTATGAAGTGCTTTTTATTAAACTTCTATTGCTCTTTTCATAATAGAAATCATTATTATTATTACTGTAAGTTCAAGTGGAGATTTGACCAGTACCTGTGGGCTGTGGCTGGTGGCTGACCAGGCTGGGGGGTTTGGAGGAGATGATGGGAGCGTGGCTGACCCCGTTCTCTGCTGGCAGGGTCACCCGGGGGTCTGGCTCCATGGGGTCATCACCAGCAGCCTCCACCTGTCAATCAAATACATTGACAGCGATACTGATACAGGCACTTTGTACTGGGCCTCAAAGCACTTTATCAGGTCCACACAGTCCTGTTCAAATTGACTTAGCACATCATCTGTCTAGAGTGTAAGCATCTGCCCAATGTACTGTATATCACACATACATAGTTCTGCTCTATGTTTTTGCGGCCTATGCAATGAGATGAGAGTACAACCATAAGATTCCATGACTCTATTACAAACAAGCTACTGTACATCAAATATACGACACCACAATCAACTCACCACACACACAGAGAATACCTGCAGCCTGTTGGAAACCTTGTAGACATAGCTTTGGTACCCCACTCTCAGCATGGCTCAGATCAGAGTCACACTGACCACACTCTCTAAAGTTTCACTAACATTTAGCCAATGTTCTCCTTACGTTGTCTCAATGTTCTCTTGAAGTTCTCCTAACGCTCTCTACTACGTTCTCCAAACGCTTCCTCATGGTTCTCCCAACGTTCTCTCTAGGTTCTTTCCAACCCTGACTTGTTGTAGTACTTGGCGTGTATTTCTTTGAAATATTATTCAGTTAAACCACCTGTTACTGAGTCCTCCCTCCCTGAGCCTGTTCTGGACAGGAAAATAAAGTCTGTTTTCCTCTGCTCTCCTCTTCTTTCTAATCTCTCTTTCCCTCTGTCTCTGACACTCCAGCAGAAAGCCCACTAACTCACTAGGCGACCGTTGCCATGGTGTCAGCATGTACAAGCTCTCCATTGACTGTCTCCCCCATCCACCGTCCCTCACCTCATAACCCTCACACCTCAGTTCCTAACCCCTGGTCTATAGCAAAAACCCAATAATCTCTTCACAAAGCGACAGGCCTCAGTTCCTAACCCCTGGTCAATAGCTCTAACCCAAAGAGAGGCCTACTGCCTGGGGAGATGCTCATTGATCTGTTACTGGTCGATTAGTGTGGGGATGACACACACACACACACACACACAAACAGGCATACACATTCACGAACACAGGCACCCACGCACGCACACAGGCACAAACACTCACAAACACACACACACACAAACACAAACACACACACACAGACAAATACAAACACACCTCTTTGCTGTCCTCCTCCTCTGCCCCCTCCTCCAGAGTGAGAGCTGCCAGTTGATTGGCTCTCTGCTCCATCAGGTTGACGTAACGGATGGGATTGGACAACGCCTCGATGACATCTGAGGAAGAGATCAGTGGGAGGAAGGGGACAGAATGTATCATAGATGATGTTATATAAGCCAGTGGAAATATCAACATGGTTAGAACTCTATGGTTAGTTACTGTATATACCAGTATTCTGTAAGGTATGTCAGCCACTATACCTGCGAATGTATCAGGGACATAGTCCTTGACCTCTACATAGACAAACAGAGCAGGGAGGGTCAGAGCCTGGTTCTTCTCATTCCTCAGACCAATGTAGTGGTAACCTGGAACACACACACACACACACACACACACACACACAGGGGTCAGCGATCAGAAGTTCAAGGACTGCTTACACAGTATCACTCAAGCAGAACAATGGACCAGAATGGTAGTCAGTCAGGCTAACAGGCTATAGGCCTCACCTGGGCGGATGGCATTCACAGGAATGATGCGATGGCCAATGAACTTCCCTCCATCCTCAAACACAGATATCCTCATCGAGGCCAGAGTGGGCAGTACCACCTGCGGAACGACACACACACACACACACACACACAGATGCACAGACACACACACGTAAGAAAGGAGACACTTCGATAACGACAGCCTCCTCCTCCTAGATAATATTGACAGATTACTCTGGGAGGTCTTGATTTATTTGATTAACTACAAATCCCATAACACTTTGATCTATGATGTTTTAAACAATGATTTACACACATAATTCAATAGAACATTATATATCTCTATTGGTGTGCATTCTTGAAGATCAAGGCCTCCTCCTCACAGATAATGTTCACGTTAACTAGTCTAGTTAACTAGTCTCTAGTCTAGTCTCTAGTCTAGTTAACTAGTCTAGTTAACTAGTCTCCCGAGTGGCACAGTGGTCTAGCTGTGCCACTAGAGATCCTGGTTCAAATCCAGGCTCTGTCGTAGCTGGCCGCGACCGGGAGACCCATGGGGCGGCGCGCAATTGGCCCAGCGTCATCCAGGGTAGGGGAGGGAATGGCCGGCAGGGATGTAGCTCAGTTGATAGAGCATGGCGTTTGCAACGCCAGGGTTGTGGGTTCGATTCCCACAGGGGGTATGAAAAAATAATAATGTATGCACTAACTAACTGTAAGTCGCTCTGGATAAGAGCGTCTGCTAAATGACTAAAATGTAAATGTTAAATGATTCAAGACGATTCTCTAGTTAGGCTAGGTAGTTAGCAGTTGAGCTAACGTTAACTAACCCCCCCCAAAAAAAAAATATTGTAAAGTGATTGTCCCACTGGCTTTCATAAGGTGAATGCAATTTGTAAGTCGCTCTGGATAAGAGCGTCTGCTAAATGACGGAAAAAATAAATAAATAAATAAATTATATAAAAATGTTGACAGCATTACCTTCGGTGATCTTAAAGAACTACAAATCCCATAACAGTCTGCGCTACGTTGTGGTTTACCTTCTTGAGGACAAAGGCCTCCTCCTCCCAGACAGGGTTGACAGCGTTGCCCTGAGATGTCTTGGTCTTAAAACCCTTCCTTCTGGTGTCCACCGGCAGACCAAACATGTCTATCTCCACATACGTCCCCACCTTCTTATCGGTCAGGAACTGGCCTGAGATGATCTGGAGACAGATAGATTAAGATATTAAGTGTGAGCGTTGTAAAGTCCGTGCACACATACACATACGTACACACACGCACATGCGATCACGCACACACACAAGCATGCACACACACGCACCCACACAGATACACACCTTCACAGACAATGTGTTGGCTACGATGCCGTCCACAGTACTCTCAGCAAAGGGATCAAAGTGTTTGTCTGGTCGTCTCATGAACTCTGGTTTCAGTCTGTAACCACACTTTCCATTGTACTCATACATACCCAGGTTCAACATCATGGACAGGTCTGAGGAAGAGAGAGAGAGAGAGAGGGGAGAGAGCGGAGAGAGAGAGAGAGAGAGAGAGAGAGAGATTGAGGGAGAGCGAGAGGGAGAGAGAGTAGAGAGAGGGGGGAAATGAGAAGAAGGGAGAGAGGTGTTAGAAAGATACAGAGGTACACACAGCCCTTCCCATACTCAGTAAACAGCTCTGAGAGATATATAGATAGAAAGCACGTTAATAAAATAGTGTGTGTGTGTTGATGTAGTTCTTACCTATGGTCTGGAAGTTGAGGGCCACCAGTTGACAGCCTGCATTCCAGAAAAGTTGAGGGTTGTAGTTGGAGGAGTCTACTCTGGTACCTTTTGGGTAGATACGACTCAGCTGCAGCTTGTTATACCTGGACACACTCCGTTAAGGAGAGGACACCTTGGGCCTCATTTTTTATCAAACATGCATACATTTCTCATAAAATGTTGGCCTAAGTGGAGATTCTAGGATTTGCGTGCGCAACAATTCATTGGGATTTATCAAACTGTCGCACTAAATATATACGCATGTTTTCATTGATAAATCAGAGCCATACTATATTTCTACGCTCATGAACAAGCGTTACAACCCAGCCTGGAAAATGCACTCCATCACCTTTTATGGTAACAAAAACACTGTAATTTGCAGTATGATTTGAAGATGTTGTAACTAGGTCATGACAGTTTGATCACATTTCTGTAGAGGTATGGGCATGCCGCCTATAGGGCGTGCTAAACACTTTGAGCATAGTTAGCTATTTGTATTTGTATTTGTATTTATTATGGATCCCCATTAGCTGCTGCCAAGGCAGCATCTACTCTTCCTGGGGTCCAGCAAAATTAAGACAGTTATACAATTTTAAAAACATTACAATACATTCACAGGTTGAATAAGCGATGGACAAATGGTAGCCTAATATTTGTTTTGTAGCGGGAATAAACCAGTCATGTCAGAAAAGGAGAGGCAAGCCCTGCAATATGATTATGAATTAGACCTATATAATAAAAGCAAAATAAATATATTAGGCGACATGATGCTATGCAATCTCCTAACCAATGGCATTAAAATTCCTGTGCATCAAACACCTCCATTTCCCCCAAAATAACAATATTTGCTTGCCATACAGTTGATCAACCACTAGAAGTTGAGCGTACGCATGGTCTGAGATTTGCGTGGAGATACGCACACTTTCCCGTCAAGTTCAAAATCTAAAAATACTACCCTTTGTGGAAAACGAGTATTTTTTGTGTGCATGCACCTTTGATAAATGAGGCTCCTGGACTTACAATACATGGATTCCTTTACTTAACCAGGTAAGGTGATTTACAAGTTCACGTTGCTTTTGGTGTCCTTCTTCACTCGAGACAGTTTCAACAAATGAAAAGATTTGAACAGACATTTGAAGTAAATATTCCACATAGAGTGGGAAGGATACTCGACAAACTCCACAGGTGACTTGGTGAGCTGCTCCAAGGCTTTGGTCTCCACAAACGATGACATCTGATAGCTCCGATTGATCTCTGGAACAACAGCAATTGATTGATTGATAAATAAATTTTAAAAATGGCATAACTTTTGGAATTGATTCTTTTTTTGTTTTAAAATGCAGCTGAATTTTAAACAGTAAATCTGTGAGAACAGAACAACTAATTTGAGTTGGTGTGTATTCAAAGTGCCACAAAATATGGTTCACAATCGCAATAAATATTGAAGTGTGGTCTAAACAGGTGTTGAGTTGTGGTCACGAGTGATGGTCTTACTTTTGGAGGCCTCGAAGGAGTTAAATTTGACCGGCTGGACATAACTGACCAGGTTGGACATCTCCTCTGTGGCAAATGCCTCGCTGCCCGCTGTACCCTGGAGGAGGAACACACAACAGTCAGAAAGAGAATCCTCCTCTCCTCTCCTCTCCTCTCCTCTCCTCTCCTCTCCTCTCCTCTCCCCTCCCCTCCTCTCCTCTCCCCTCCTCTCCTCTCCTCTCCTCTCCTCTCCTCTCCTCTCCTCTCCTCTCCTCTCCTCTCCTCTCCTCTCCCCTCCCCTCCCCTCCCCTCCCCTCCTTGTTTGACTATTGAGACATAGCCCGAGAATAACGTGTGTTTCTGAATCTCCACTAGGGGGCAGCCTAAGAACACATTACATGTAGCAAGAGACACCTGAGGATGCAGGAGAAAGAATGAAGATGTATTGAAAGCCATATACCTCATCCATGCACCCCTTTTTACAGTCATCGTCATCATCATCATCATCGTCACTCTCTGCCTCAACTTCACCTGAAAGACAAGCGCAGGTTTAAGTTAGCTTCTCAGGTTACATGCTAATGATTACTAAAGGCTGCATGGTCAGAAAGCAAGCCCCAGGGTTTGGAGTTCTGAAGGGGATGAATGGAGGTGTAAGCAATATTGGAATAGATCCACCAAGCTTTTTAGTGGGGTTACTGTCACTTGTGCCATAGGGAGGTTAGGGAAAGGGGTGTTAGGAGCTAGGGATAGGGGGTCTAGGGAAAGGAATTAAGGGAAAGAGCTAGAGAAAAGGAATAGGGGAAGGAAGAAACTAAGGATGTGACTAGGTTATAGAACTAGGGCTACTAAGGGTTGCTTCAGGACCAGGTAAAGGAGGAGGAGGAGTGACTGATGGAGTAGTTCTATGTATTAAGGATCCCCATTAGTTCCTGCCAAGGCAGCAGCTACTCTTCCTGGGGTCCAGCAAAATTAAGGCAGTTATATACAATTAAAAACATTACATGACATTTCACAACAGATTTCACAACATATTAAGTGTGTGCCCTCAGGCCTCTACTCTACTACCACATATCTACAACACAAAATCCATGTGTATGTGTGTGTATAGTGCGTATGTTAGGTGTGTGTGCATGCGTGTGTCTGTGCCTGTGTGTGTCTCTTCACATTCCACGCTGTTCGATAAGGTGTATTTTTATCTGTTTTTTAAATCTATTTTTACTGCTTGCATGAGTTACTTGATGTGGAATAGAGTTCCATGTTGTGACCAGGGGTATGGCTCGGAAAGGCTATAAAGACTCACCTGACACACAAACCGATATTTTATTTCACAATTTATACAAATTAGGTTAAGGTTAGGGTCAGTTTTAGGTTTTGGCTAGTCGGTTTAAGAATAGCTGTGTCCTTATAGTCTCTCCCATATGGCTCACCGATGGACTTCCTTCCCTGTGGTCTGAGGCTGAGCCCAGCGACCTCTAGTGGCTGGGAGGACTCAGTAATCTCCTGGTTGGTCCACCCTGGTGGACAGTAAACAATCAATAACCATTATGTGATACTGTATATGCAGTGGAGGCAGGTGTCACTTTTAAATTGGAGGACGGACTCATTGTAATGGAATGGATGGAACAGTATCAAACACAGGTGAATCCATTTCCATTCCTGCCATTACAATGAGCCTGTTCCAAGATATTTCCCTTCACCAGTCTCTTCTGGATATATGAACTCCTTCAGAGATCAAGATGGACTGCAGCAGTGCAGGATGAAATGTGTCTGTGAGTCTACCAGCAGGGGGCAGTGTGTACTAGTGTATGAGAGTGGCGCGTGGCTGTGAGCCCCAGTAGGCTGATGTTGATGAATGCAGGGTGATTCTGTGTGAAGGGGAACGCTAAGAGCATCGATCCTGCTGCCTGTCTGCCTCCCTGCCTGTCCTGTTCTGGTAAAGCTGTACCAGAGGCACCTGGGTAGCTATACAACTTAACCTGACACACACACACACACACACACACACACACACACACACACACACACACACACACACACACACAGATAGTATATGAGTCACAGGAGGTTGGTGGCTCCTTAATTGGGGAGGACAGGCTTGTGGTAATGGCTGGAGTGAAATGAGTGGAATGGCATCAAACACATGGTTTCCATATGTTTGATGCCATTTCATTTGCTCATTTCCGGCCATTATTATGAGCCGTCCCCCCCTCAGCAGCCTCCAATGATATGAGTATATGAAAAAGTCAACAACACAGCTCACTGATTTAGAGGGCCAGGAAAGTGATGGATGATCAACTACAGCCAGGTCTTACTATAAGATGTAGGATTTATGATTGGCAAGCAATTCTCCCACCATGACCTCTGCTGACTTGTAGCGTTGCACTTTATTATAAATCAAATAAACCTCCTCTGTGTGTCAATGGCCGACAAGTGACTTGTGTTTCTGCTGCTGCTGTGTGTGCGTGTGTGTGTGTGCATGTGTGCGTGTACTGTAACCATACCTGCGCTGGGAGAAGAGGGCTCATGCACACTAGATGAGTCACTGTAGGTATTGGAGGCCTGTTCTGACAGTTTCTTCTTGGTACTTGATGTCTTGATGTGTTTCTTCTTGTTCTTCACCAGAATCTTTCCCATCAGATCCATTGGACTGGGCAGGTGCACTCCTGTCTCCAACTAGAGATGGAGAGGGAGGGGTGAAGGGAGAGCGAAAGGAGGGAGAGAGAGAGAGAGAGAGAGAGAGAGAGAGAGAGAGAGATAAAGGATAGTAGAGAGAGAGGGATAAAAGGATAGTAGAGAGAGAGAGAGGATAGAGAGAGAGAGAGCTCTATAGTCTAGGCTCTCTTCCGATCTGCTTCGCGCGCGCTCCTATCTCTCCGCTCTCTCTCGCTCGCTCTAGCTCTCTCTCTCTCGCTATCTTCTGCGCTCTCTCTCTCCTCTCTCGCTCTCTCTCGGCTCGCTCTCGCTTCCTCTCTCTTCTCTGTCTCTCTATCTCTCTCTCTCTCTCTCTCTCTCCTCTCTCTCTCTCTCTCTCTCTCTTCTCTTAGCGCGATATATCGACTTAGACTCATTACCTGAGAGTAAGAACCAAGAAAGGTTCCTACTAATGGTGATGTTGGTGGGTGCGTGTGTTAGGCAAGGGTATCAAAACAGACTTGGTGTTGTGATGATGAGAGGGTGTTGATCAGTCATAGTGTAAAAGGCTTCTTAGTGACCTGAATGAAATAAGGCCCTTACAGGCTGTGTTGGCAAGCAAGTGTTAAGTTTACATCTTCAACACTTTCTACACCCCAGAATGGGGTTTCCTTTGTGTAGAGTGGGAGTGTATGCTTACAACACTCTCTCTCTCTGAAGAGCAGACTTGAGTAGGCACAGCACTCGTTTATTCATGTGATACCCTTCTGTTCTGTTGGATCACACTGTTGATGCCCATTGATAATGGAGTATTAGAAGACACTGAGCTACATCACACAAACGCATGCAAGCGCTCGTACACGCAGGTAAACGTTTGCACACACATGATTTACAGGCACGCACGCACACGCACACACACACAATTAACAACTTTCTCAGCTTTAAACAGCATCACACTTCTGAGCATCTGCCATATCTACTTGTCTTCAGTTCTCTTTCATCCTCAAGTCAGAGAACATCTTGATCCATACACACTACTTCTCACTGAAAACCAGCTCAGCATTTTCCCCTTAATGGACTGTAAAGGACATCACACTTCTTACTTAGTCAGTAATGCTTCCTCCTGATTCAGCTCACACCGAGGCTTGAACCCAGCACCTCTACCTTGCTAGCACACGTGTCCACCCTCCCGAAGCGGCTTACCAGTTGGTGCCACCAAAAAGTTAACAATTCCGCGGTGCAAGTGGCGACACTTCAGGCTGAGGAGGAAGTTTCACACATCCCCCTGAGCTACAGGAGCAAAAGAGGACCTTGATCTGTGGGCAACTTTCCGGAGCAATCATTCCATTACAACCATCTTTAGTCCCCTATGGCCATGTCCTATACAGTGGGGAAAAAAAGTATTTAGTCAGCCACCAATTGTGCAAGTTCTCCCACTTAAAAATATGAGAGAGGCCTGTAATTTTCATCATAGGTACACGTCAACTATGACAGACAAAATGAGAAAAAAAAATCTAGAAAATCACATTGTAGGATTTTTAATGAATTTATTTGCAAATTATGGTGGAAAATAAGTATTTGGTCAATAACAAAAGTTTCTCAATACTTTGTTATATACCCTTTGTTGGCAATGACACAGGTCAATCGTTTTCTGTAAGTCTTCACAAGGTTTTCACACACTGTTGCTAGTATTTTGGCCCATTCCTCCATGCAGATCTCCTCTAGAGCAGTGATGTTTTGGGGCTGTCGCTGGGCAACACGGACTTTCAACTCCCTCCAAAGATTTTCTATGGGGTTGAGATCTGGAGACTGGCTAGGCCACTCCAGGACCTTGAAATGCTTCTTACGAAGCCACTCCTTTGTTGCCCGGGCGGTGTGTTTGGGATCATTGTCATGCTGAAACACCCAGCCACGTTTCATCTTCAATGCCCTTGCTGATGGAAGGAGGTTTTCACTCAAAATCTCACGATACATGGCCCCATTCATTCTTTCCTTTACACGGATCAGTCGTCCTGGTCCCTTTGCAGAAAAAACAGCCCCAAAGCATGATGTTTCCACCCCCATGCTTCACAGTAGGTATGGTGTTCTTTGGATGCAACTCAGCATTCTTTGTCCTCCAAACACGACGAGTTGAGTTTTTACCAAACAGTTCTATTTTGGTTTCATCTGACCATATGACATTCTCCCAATCCTCTTCTGGATCATCCAAATGCACTCTAGCAAACTTCAGACGGGCCTGGACATGTACTGGCTTAAGCAGGGGGACACGTCTGGCACTGCAGGATTTGAGTCCCTGGCGGCGTAGTGTGTTACTGATGGTAGGCTTTGTTACTTTGGTCCCAGCTCTCTGCAGGTCATTCACTAGGTCCCCCCGTGTGGTTCTGGGATTTTTGCCTCACCGTTCTTGTGATCATTTTGACCCCACGGGGTGAGATCTTGCGTGGAGCCCCAGATCGAGGGAGATTATCAGTGGTCTTGTATGTCTTCCATTTCCTAATAATTTGCTCCCACAGTTGATTTCTTCAAACCAAGCTGCTTACCTATTGCAGATTCAGTCTTCCCAGCCTGGTGCAGTTCTACAATTTTGTTTCTGGTGTCCTTTGACAGCTCTTTGGTCTTGGCCATAGTGGAGTTTGGAGTGTGACTGTTTGAGGTTGTGGACAGGTGTCTTTTATACTGATAACAAGTTCAAACAGGTGCCATTAATACAGGTAACGAGTGGAGGACAGAGGAGCCTCTTAAAGAAGAAGTTACAGGTCTGTGAGAGCCAGAAATCTTGCTTGTTTGTAGGTGACCAAATACTTATTTTCCACCATAATTTGCAAATAAATTCATTAAAAATCCTACAATGTGATTTTCTGGATTTTCTTTTCTCAATTTGTCTGTCATAGTTGACGTGTACCTATGATGAAAATTACAGGCCTCTCTCATCTTTTTAAGTGGGAGAACTTGCACAATTGGTGGCTGACTAAATACTTTTTTTCCCCACTGTAAATCCCATATCAATCACACTCAGTGGCGAATTTAGCATGTAAATCTTGGTGGGGCAAACCCCCCAAAAAATGTTTTAGATGCATGCCAGCAAACCCACTACACAACACAAAATAATACATGAATTGCACTATAACGGTGACATTAAGCTGTCCCAACAGCAGTCCCAACACCTTACCACTGCTACACCTGGCTATCAGCGGAGCCTTGTCTGGCAGCGAAACAGTTCATTCAGCCTCATTTACTGCCTTTAAAAAAAACATAGCTGATATGGCTGACTTGCTTAAACAAATGTGGTTTCTACTGACAATTGAGATGTACAAACTATGGCATAAGGGGACAACGAGCAGATAAGAGGCAATCCGTAATTTCGATTAAGATATTAATGAGCGAGCTAGGACGGACGTAGTCAATATAACTATTTGTTCAGCACTTTTGAAATGTACAGCGACAGAATTCAGAACATGGGCCGTTCTTACAGTATTCTCCCTGTACACCAAGTCAGAACCGTAGGATATATAAAGGGGACATATAAGTAGAGAATGAAAGCTCTTACAATATTCGATGATTACATTTCTCTAAAACAGGTTATACGCTTGTACCACCAAGTCAGAACAGTAGGCAAAATTAGGAGGGGAAACGGGACCAAATTATTAGGGTGAGGCATATGGGCTACTAACAGCTTACTACACAACATACACTTAGTATTACTTTCTTAGCTACAGTATACATATCTCCCTGGCCTATTACATCCTTTATGCAGCAGCATACAAGACATTTCTGGACTCACCTTGTTGTGCTGTGCTCACTTGAACAGGAAGGTGGCACAGCGGTCCTTCGCGGGCAAATTTTGTCATCAAAGTCTGGCATTCTCTGGATTTATGGTTCTTTCGAGACAACTGGGAACTTGGAAAAAAACAAGGTTGAATCATGATGACGTCAGTGATCTTCAGGTCGGAGCTCGAGAAAGAGGCCAGAGTTCCCGACTTGCAATTCCAAGTTGGATGACCGTTCAAAACGAATTCCCAGTTCTGAGTAGTCATGCTGGATTGACACCATGGCCAATGTTGAATGTTTATCCTTTTAAGCTTGGAAAAGAGACCCTTAAACCAAATTTGGGACCACACACCCACTCCACTGAATAGCAGGCTAGTGATTGCTTTTCAATGCTTGCAGTTAGCCACTGATTCTTGATATAACGTGATTTGTCGTCATTTTATCTGTGGCCAATGACCTTGAGCCTTCTTGGATGGGCACTTCTAATGTAACTCTATGGTAGCACCCAAGCAAGCGGCTTGAATTTTCGAGCTCTACCCCTAGATTTGGCGGTGATGTATTGTCCCCATGAGTGACAGAGCCAATCACGGCGCAACTCGAGAACATTACCAACCCCTACGCTCCGTATTTTCAGCTGGCTGCCCCACCACCACAGAAAGCACTGAGCTAGGCTGAAACACCTGTGACACGTATTAATGCCAAAATAACATGCAAAACAGCCCCACCCCCAAAAAAACAAAAAACATTTTAAATGTTTTTAAAAAAGCCAGTGGGAGAGGCTGCATGTCATTGAGTTCTCTGTACTCACTTATCACTAGCCTATCTGTTATATTATATATATAAACTATCATTCGGTCCACTCCTTGTCACTCTTTATCATGTTAAACATACAACATGGAGTACAAGGAGTGGAATGTTAGCTAAACAGATTGGTACCCATGCTAGTGGAATGTTAGCTAAACAATGTTAGCTAAACAGACTAGTACCCAGGCTAGTGGAATGTTATCTAAACGGACTGGTACCCAGGCTAGTGGAATGTTAGCTAAACAGACTGGTACCTATGCTAGTGGAATGTTAGCTAAACAGACTGATACCCATGCTAGTGGAATGTTAGCTAAACAGACTGGTACCCGGGCTAGTGGAATGTTAGGTAAACAGACTGGTACCCAAGCTAGTGGAATGTTAGCTAAACAGACTGGTACCCGGGCTAGTGGAATGTTAGCTAAACAGACTGGTACCCGGGCTAGTGGAATGTTAGGTAAACAAACTGGTACCCAGGCTAGTGGAATGTTAGCTAAACAGACTGATACCCATGCTAGTGGAATGTTAGCTAAACAGACTGGTACCCAAGCTAGTGGAATGTTAGCTAAACAGACTGGTACCCGGGCTAGTGGAATGTTAGCTAAACAGACTGGTACCCGGGCTAGTGGAATGTTAGCTAAACAGACTGGTACCCGGGCTAGTGGAATGTTAGCTAAACAGACTGGTACCCAGGCTAGTGGAATGTTAGCTAAACCGACTGGTACCCAAATCTGACTCTTCTGAATCTTTCTCCTTCCCTACCCCCCCCCCCCCCCCCCTCTCTCTCTCTCTCTCTCTCTCCCTACCTCTCTCTCCCTCTGTTCTGAAAGTACTGATCTGATAACAATTCAATATCAAAGTCATTCACTCTAGTGAATCACTGGGAGGGCTTACGCACACAGACACACACACACACACACATGCAAACACACACACACACACATGCAAACACACACACACTAGCCCTAGTGCTGTTGCAACCAGTGAGATAATGTGTAAAGCTAAGTTCCTTCATTCCATTCCAACAGGGACAACGACTAACACTTCACTACTGACTAATGGGAAGGATGATACTGTACATGTGTGTGTGTGCTTGTCTGTGTGTGCTTGAGAGTGCATTCGTGCGTGTGTGTGTGATTGTTGTTACGTAAGAATGGACTCTGAGAAGAAGTTCCTCCACAAAGGGACAATGCAAGCTTTTGACTGGTAGCCATGGCAACTGGCTGGAAGTAGATAAAGGGTCGCTAAGAAAAGCAGCATAGGCTACAGATCACCCCGTAACACAACACGCACGCACACACATAGACACACACACAGTGTAACCCAGTGACTGCCCTCTGTAGCGTATCCCCTTATAGCTGACTGGTAGGGAGAGAGGACCATGTGATTGTAATTGCAGACAGATGAAAAGGGTTGGTTTGGATAAAGGGAGATAGAGAGAGGAAGGGAGGGAGAAAGCTGAGGGAGAGAGAGGGGTGAGGCAGCAGAGAGAGAGAAAGAGAGAGAGTGAGGGAGAGATCAAAAGAGACAGGTAAACATCTAGTTTTAGTTGACACAAGGCTGTTTAGAGGGTCACTCAGGGGTGAAGGAGGGGAGAGGAACACTACACTCACTGGTCCATGTCATAGAGGTGTGTTGAACTGTGTGTTTGACAGTGTGTGTGTGTGTAGTGTGTGAACATGAGTGTACGTGCAAGCAGGGGTCTTGTGTACTTACAGGGTACTTCTCCAGAGGGTCGGTCAGTAACATGTCTCCAAATATTGACCTGCAGTACTCCGCCATCTTGGCCTGCTGCTTGGGCCTGGGAGGCAACACACACACCGTTACAACCATTACAATCACCTCACAGTGGCATAATGTTAGTATTTAGCGATTCGCTACTGGAGTGGATAGCGTTAGTGTGACCGATTGGGATTCGAACCTGGGTGTCCTTGGGGAGCTAACGCAAGTCTTCAGGTCTCAGCTCACTAAGCCACCTTCGCTACATCTAGCTAGCTAATGGCTTCAGAGTGGCTAGCTTTAGCATGTAGTGAGTCGCAATTGACTTAAGAGTGGCCAGTATTAGCAAAGATGGTGGATAAATGAAGATAGTTCACTCAGGCCTTTTACCATTGAAAAAAATGGTCAGTGTACTAACTGAGTGTGTCTCCCATAGACACCAATGCAATAGCAGCTGGGTCTGGTCTACTTAGTTCATTAACTTTCATTAAACCAGAAAAAAACAGCGAGTGGGGTGTCTCGCTTCCTCTTCCGTCTCTGGTATTAGCATGTAGTTATTAGCTAATGCCCTACTCTAAGAGTGGCTAACATTAGCATATAGCTAATTAGCGCATTACATAAGAGTGGCAAGCATTAGCATGGCAGTTAAAATGGCACTACCATAACCATAGACTAACAGAGGTTCAGAATCACTGTTTGAACTGAAGTTTAAAAAATAGGAAAAGTGTTGGTGTGTACATTTATCAAAGACATCAAACAAAGGTAAACTCTTGAAACACACAGCGGCGTGAGAGTTGTTGACTTACGAGTCCACGTGGTTCTCAAAGGAGAGGATGACCGGGAAAGGGGAGGTCTTGAAGGCACACCCTGCTATGGCCTCAATCACTTCCTGTAGACACAGAGCAGACAGACAGGGTGTCAGCACTGGTCAATGACCAATGGGATCAAATATCAATGAATGTGATCGCTGAAATTTTTTAATTTGATGACACATATAATATGGCCGGTGGTCAGGCTATCGCAAAATATCTAATATGAATATTCGAAGTACATTATCTGTATAGTGATGTGGAGAGCCGCTGGTGTAGAGCTTGTTGACTCATTGAACATCTGATAGGGATTGTTCAGTAGTGTAAGACTAAGTGGTTAAGTGAATTTTACAACCATTTATATCGATGCTAGAGGGTAAATACACTTAACAGCTTACCCTCTTTCTCTCTCACACACACTTCACCTTCTCTCTCTCTCTCTCTATCGATCTTCTGCTCATTCCCCCTCTCATTCCCTCTCTCTCATTCCCGCTCTCTATCAGTCCACTTACACATTTCTATTTCACTCTCAATCCAAGTCTATCAGTCTCCTTCTCTTGCTCTTAGGCTGCGTTTACACAGGCAGCCCAATTCTGATATTTTTTCCACTAATTGTTTTTTTGACCAATCACATCAGATTTTTTCACATCAGATATTTTCAGAGCTGATCTGATTGGTAATAAGACCAATTAGTAAAAAAGAAAATCAGAATTGGGCTGCATGTGTAAACTCAGCCATAGTACTCTCATTAAAGACTAAATTCCCTCTTTCAATCAATCTCTTCTCTGTCTGGCTCTCTTCTTTCCTCCTCTCCTCTCCCTGGGCTTCTTCTTTCCTCCTCTGCTTCTCTCCTCCACCCATCTGTGCTTCAGTTATTCTCTCCTCCTTTCTCAAGCCTATTTATTGCCTTACCTCCATAACTTGCTACATTTGCACACACTGTATATATATTTTCTGTTGTATTTTTGACTTTGACATGTTTTGTTTTACCCCATATGTAACTCTGTGTTGTTGTTTTTATTGCACTGCTTTGCTTTATCTTGGCCAGGTCGCAGTTGTAAATGAGAACTTGTTCTCAACTGGCTTACCTGGTTAAATAAAGGTGAAATGTTTTGGTTTTTTTTATGTTCACCTCCCTCTCTCATTTTACATTTTAGTCATTTAGCAGACGCTCAGTTTTAGTGAGTGCATAAATTGTTCATACTGGCCCCCCGTGGGAAACAAACCCACAACCCTGGCGTTGCAAGCGCCATGCTCTACCAACTAAGCTACAGGGGACTCCTATTGCTCTCTACAATACTAAATACCAAGCAACTCTTTCTCTCTGTCTACCTGTTTCTCAAACCATCTTTTGCTCTTTCCTTCTCTCTTTCCCTACCGCTCCCCTCTTTCTCATCTCTCTCTCACTCCCTTCTCCCTCTTTTTCTCCCTCCTCCTCCATGCCCATTGTCTCACTTCCTCTCATTCTTTCTCCCTCCCTCCCTCTCCATCTCCCTCTCCCTCCATCTCTCTTTACTATCTCTCTGGTTCCAGACAGTTTACCTTGAAGGAGATTTCGGTTGTCATGGTGAATCCGTGTGTGATGACAGGTTCTTCTTCGGTGGTGCGTCCCTTCCAGCAGTCCAGCTCGATACAGCGACACCCTGACAGGAGGACCTGCCGGTACATCTCCACCGACGAGTTACCTGCCAGCTGGCCCGCTACACACACACACACACACACAAAACACTTAACAGATTCTTCTTTTAAAGACAGTTAACCACATTATTAATTACTTTATTTCCTTCCTACAGTGTGTCAACACGAGACATTCCCACACATCTCAAGCTCTCATTAGGCACATTGGTCATTAGAGTTACGAACAGCACTACAGTCCACAGAGCAGAGCACTTTCTCCATTAACAAAGCAATTATTTCTACATCAGCATCGTATTACCACCGCGTTGAGACAACAGTGTCAATGTGAAACGCACTCACATCTGTGTCTGTGAGTGTATGTATGTGTGTGTGTGTATGTATGTGTGTATGTGTATCACTTCAGAAGGCACCCCTGAGCTCCTCTATAAATGCAATGTCATCTCTTCCTGAGTAGCATGAAGGGACACACATACACACACACACCACGACTTCCTGGGGAAAACAGCAGCTTAAGATGCCTACATTAGAGGAAAGTTAACTTTTAAATGAGTTTCTGCCTTCAACACAGTTCTGATTGGAAGCAGATTACAGAGGGATCACTGTAAACGAATAATAAGGCCATAAAGTAATCAGTGATGACTTGTTAAAAATATCCTTGTCTCCCACAGTTGTTCAAGTAATTATTTCTCTGTAACTTCCCGAAAACGATTTCTCATCATAATTTAGTTCATTGCGTAATACAATATGACAACGTGTCAATAGGAGAATGAGATTACACAAGGAAGACGAGACGTGACAAGGGAATTAAGGATGCATTGTGTATCTTTTTCATTTTCTTGAAATTGGCTCAATGGAATACATTGTCTATAAGAACGCTACAGCTTCATCTGGGATTTAACACATCATCTCGACACTTACATCACAAGAAAGATAACTTTATTTTAAAGGGTGTTTGTTTTTTGTGGAATTGGAAAAAAGCAATAATTTGATACAGTTAAAATGTTTACAAATTAAATGCGCTGAAATGAAAGCAACTTCCAAAAATGAACACTCAAATTATAGTGATACAGTGAGGGAAAAAAGTATTTGATCCCCGGCTGATTTTGTACGTTTGCCCACTGACAAAGACATGATCAGTCTATAATTTTAATGGTTGGTTTATTTGAACAGTGAGAGACAGAATAACAACAAAATAATCCAGAAAAACGCAAGATTGTAGGTCTACAATCTTGTCCCTGACATCCTTCGAGAGCTCTTTGGTCTTGGCCATGGTGGAGAGTTTGGTATCTGATTGATTGATTGCTTCTGTGGACAGGTGTCTTTTATACAGCTAACAAACTGAGATTAGGAGCACTCCCTTTAAGAGTGTGCTCCTAATCTCAGCTCGTTACCTGTATAAAAGACACCTGGGAGCCAGAAATCTTTTTGATTGAGAAGGGGTCAAATACTTATTTCCCTCATTCAAATGCAAATCAATTTATAACATTTTTGACATCCGTTTTTCTGGATTTTGTTGTTGTTATTCTGTCTCTCACTGTTCAAATAAACCTACCATTAAAGTTATAGACTGATCATTTCTTTGTCAGTGGGCAAACATACAAAATCAGCAGGGGATCAAATACCTTTTTTCCCTCACTGTATAATGCCTGATCTCGCAAACAATGTAAAGTATGTTTAGATAGGTGTAATCTAGAACCAAGTGTGTTGATTTTCAATCTGAGGGTATCCTGCTATTGACACACTTGTTGAATTATGCAAGAGAACGTGACAAAAACAGTAATTAATGAGGCAGTCTAGCCAGCCCAGGTGAGTGCAGGTAGGGTAGACAGAGCAAGTGTTTGTGGTTGCAGCCCTGTTCCACCCCTTTATGTTAATGCAGTCAAATAGACCCAGTGTATTTACGCAAATGAGGCACATATCATTTTCTTATTTATATTTTGTATTTATTTATTGTTGGTACTTTATACCCCTTTTTCTTCCCAATTGGTAGTTACAGTCTTGCCCCATCGCTGCAACTCCCATACAGACTGGGGAGAGGCGAAGGTAGAGAGCCATGCGTCCTCCGAAACACGACCCCGCCAAGCCGCACTGCTTCTTGACACACTGTTCGCTTAACCCGGAAGCCAGCCGCACCAATGTATCGGAGGAAACAGCGTACAGCTGGCGACTGAAGTCAGCGTGCATGTGCCCGGCCCGCCACAAGGAGTCGCTAGAGCGCGATGGGACAAGGACATCCCGGCTGGCCAAACCCTTCCCTAACCCGGACGACGCCATCTCATGGGTCTGATTGGATAAGTGCCTGATTTGCACAGGAGAAAAAGGAACCCCACTGGCTGAATTTGACTCACTTTGAAAGCTGTTATGAGAGAAGTCAACTGTTGAAGCGAAGGGTCAAACAACCACATATGATCATGTGTTACTTAGTAGTTATCACAGTACTAAAAATAAAGACATTTCAAAATAGGCGCCTACCTGTAAGGTATGTGTTGTGGGAGGAGTTTATGAAGTAATGAGGCAGTGGTAGGGTCATGTCTTCACTCTGGTCCAGCTTTTCTGGGGGGATGATGCTGTTCTCTTCACTACTCAGATACTTGGCAAAGCCGTCCACCGAGATCTGACCTGTGGGAACATACACAAACACACAACATGTTACAGAGGGTAGCTGGTTGGACTGTAGTAGGGCTGTCCCCCGACTAAAGAAAATCTTGGTTGACCGAAAGTAATCTGTTCTTTCCCTATGTGTTTTAATAAAATCAACTACAGTGGCTTGCGAAAGTATTCACCCCCCTTGGCATTTTTCCTATTTTGTTGCCTTACAATCTGGAATTAAAATATATTTTTTGGGGGGGTTGTATCATTTGATTTACACAACATGCCTACCACTTTGAAGATGCAAAATATTTTTTTATTGTGAAACAAACAACAAATAAGACAACAAAACGGAAAACTTGAGCGTGCATAACTATTGATGCTGCCACCACCATGCTTCACTGTGGGGATGGTGTTCTCGGGGTGATGAGAGGTGTTGGGTTTGTGCCAGATATAGGGTTTTCCTTGATGGCCAAAAAGCTCAATTTTAGTCTCATCTGACCAGAGTACCTTCTTCCATATGTTTGGGGAGTCTCCCACATTCCTTTTGGCGAACACCAAACGTGTTTGCTTATTTTTTTCTGTAAGCAATGGCTTTTTTTCTGGCCACTCTTCCGTAAAGCCCAGCTCTGTGGAGTGTACGGCTTAAAGTGGTCCTATGGACAGATACTCCAATCTCCGGCTGTGGAGCTTTGCAGCTCCTTCAGGGTTATTTACATTTTAGTCATTTAGCAGACGCTGTTATCCAGAGCGACTTACAGTTAGTGAATGCATACATGTTTTTTGTTTTTGTTTTTTTCATACTGGCCCCCCGTGGGAAACGAACCCACATCCCTGCCAGCCAAAACCTCCCCTACCTTGGACCAATTGTGCGCCGCCCATGGGTCTCCCGGTCGCGGCCGGCTGCGACAGAGCCTGGACTCGAACCAGGATCTCTAGTGGCACAGCTAGCACTGCGATGCAGTGCCTTAGACCACTGCACCACTCGGGAGTCATCTTTGTCCTCTTTGTTGCCTCTCTGATTAATACCCTCCTTGCCTGGTCCGTGAGTTTTGGTGGGCGGCCCTCTCTTGGAAGGTTTGTTGTGGTGCCATATTCTTTCCATTTTTTAATCATGGATTTAATAGTGCTCCGTGGGATGTTCAAAGTTTTGGATATTTTTTTATAACCCAACTCTGATCTGTACTTCTCCACAACTTTGTCCATGACCTTTTTTGGAGAGCTCCTTGGTCTTCACGGTGCCGCTTGCTTGGTGGTGCCCCTTGCTTGGTGGTGTTGCAGACTTTGGGGCCTTTCAGAACAGGTGTATATATACTGAGATCATGTGACAGATCATGTGATGTATGAAAAAGTATGAGCTTTGTATGCACTCACTAACTATAAGTCGCTCTGGATAAGAGCGTCTGCTAAATTACTAAAATGTAAATGTGAAATGTAAATGTGACACTTAGATTTCACACAGGTGGACTTTATTTAACTAATTATGTGACTTCTTCTGAATTTCTAACGATCTGCGTGCCAGTTATGGTTTTCATATGCAAATTTTCGTGAAACAGTTTAATTAAATCTATAATAACGTCTTCATATCTCCAAATCATTGTCATGTGGTTAATCAAAATTCTATCCAAATCTAAATGAAAATGACACAAACCTAAAAAGTAACTTCTATTGCCATTGCCAACTATGTAAAAGTAGCCTACATAAAGCCAACAAATAACAACATTGCAGCCTGCAGGTAGAAAATATCCTGATAAAAATAAATATCCTATAAATCACATTGGCTACACATGGCCTGTCTGCAACAAACTTGAAACATTGTGTCAACTATTAACTTGGGTACGGCTGAAGCTTGAGCTAGCGAACTTGCAACATTGTATAAAATATTCTGGGCCCTCAGAGTTTCCCGCGTCAGTGAGCTCGGGACAGACACAGCAGTAGCCTATTTGCACAAGGGATAAGAAGCAGTGCTTGACTTGGGCAGCTCACCGGAGCTGAGTACCGGCACCTAAAATGTTCTACTGCTCGAGCTCCTGTTCCTCTTATAGAATCAAAAGTATTGTGGAGATCCTGCACCTAAATATAAACAGTACCAGCACCCAAAATGAGTACCGGAACCTATTTCAGTCCAAGTCAAGCACTGATAAGAAGTAATCAGGTTGGCCTATTTTATGACGTTTCGACTGAATCAGAACATTACATTTTTCCCTTTCACGTTGAGTGGCTATCGAAAGGGAGAGAGCTGGAAAGAATTTTCAATTACATTGAGGAACTATTGTAATTCTCAATGGATGTGAAAACAGACTTGTTTGCTTGCTGTTTGAGGTGAAGAAAACATTACTTTGAGAAGCTCCACAGGTCATTAGTGGTGGTGTATTAAGCAATCAGAAATACTATCAAATCCCCAAATGGGCACATTTATATGCCTACATTTGCGCGCAGGCCAGGTAGCCTATAGGCCTACTTCTATGCGTGCGCGTCCTTACTCAACATTGACAGGAGCGCTCCAAACAAAAGACAATGACTAAATTGAAACTTGTAAATGGAATGAAATAAACCAAAACTTGTTTCTCACAAGTGTAGCATAGGTTGTGCACTCTGCAAACAATGTGACTACTCCGACAATGATAAAGGGAAGACTGGAATAATAATATTGAATACATTAACAGAAATGACCGTAACCAAAGTAACAAACATGGTAGATTAGAAATGATAGGAATTAACGGTAAATGTACTACTGGTGATATATGTAATGGAGAATTGATAAGACACTAACACTCAAACACAAACAATTCACACAATGAAGTTATGAAACAATGAATGTGCACAAATTGGCGGGAGAGAGCGCATTCTGGAGAGAGAAGTGCATTGTGCATCTGGGAGCATGGTCAATCTGACGTCTGCATTGGCCATGCATCATTTACTGTGATACGGCCTCAGCAGAAGTCAGGGCATTCATACTTCTTGTGCTTCGCGGAGCAGTGCAGAGCTGTTGTCAAGGAAGTGAGTCTGTGTTTTCTACAGGATGTACCGCCCCCACCTACCGTCAACCAATCATGTAAATGTGGAGCTATACAGAGCCCTCCGCATTGTTACAAAATTTGGGAGGCGCATGGCGATGCGGTATGGAGCTCGATTTGGCCTTTGCATGCCTCTGGAATTGCCTCCGATCCACATTTTCGGATCAAGCATAAATCGGCTTTTAGTCTAGGCCTCCGCAATGGATTAGTTCACTGAGATGGGCGCAAATATATATATATATATATATATATATATATATTTGTTACTGCTCGACTTAAACAATCTCGGTCGACCAACAGCCTAAAGACCAAACAATCGACCAGTCGACTAATTGGGGTCAGCCCTAGACTGTAGCTGCTTTAGTTTACCCTCACTACTCAAATACCTGGCGAAGCCCTCCACCCACGTCTGACCTGCAGGATGACAAGATGAGTAGAACAACAGAGATTACAGTCAGAGTAGAGTTACTGGAAGACAACCTGTTAAAGCCAGGGTAAAGATTCATATCCATGTTGTCAGTTTTGTAGGGGGTGGTTGGAGCTAAACCCTTTAGAGTTGAAACCCAGTCCTGCAGTAGAGTCTGTTCATCTCCAGAGCTGCTGCTAACAGAAGCAGACAGGCTGTAACCTGCTGATTGATCACTAGTGTAACCTGGTGGGAAATGTTTTACCATTGACATTATCAGCCATCGACACATTCCCTCATTCAATCAGTGTGTGTCACAGGAGGCTGTTGAGGGGAGGCCAGGTAGCCTATAGGACTTACTCAACATTGACAGGAGCGCTCCAAACAAAAGACAAAGACTAAATTGACACAGCTTGTAAATGGAATGAAATAAACCAAAACGTGTTTCTCACAAGTGTAGCATAGGTTGTGCACTCTGCAAACAATGTGACTACTCCGACAATGATAACGGGAAGACTGGAATAATAGTTCCCGCTCAGCCCAGTCAAAGCTATTCGCTGCTCTGGCACCCCAATGGTGGAACAAGCTCCACCACGACGCCAAGACAGCAGAGTCACTGACCACCTTCCGGAGACACTTGCAACCCTACCTCTTTAAGGAATACCTGGAATAGTATAACAGTAATCCTTCTACACCCCCCCCCCCCCCCCCTCCCCCAGTGGTGGTTGTCCCACTGGCTATCCTAAGTTGAATGCACCAATTTGTAAGTCGCTCTGGATAAGAGCGTCTGCTAAATGACTTAAATGTAAATGTAATCCGGTGCATGAAGCTGAATGGTGCTGAATAAAAGCTGCATTTGAAACTTCATACATTCCAGCTCTCCTGACGGACATGCTCCCTTTAAATCATACACATCACTTGCACACACACGTACACACACTCACACAGACACACACACACACACACACACACTAAACCAACATCCTTTGATAAATGATCTCTATAGCGGGGTATCCTTGGAAATAAACGCTAACACAAGCAGCCAATTAGCCTCTCTCAACCGCACAGGCACACAGAACTAACGACTGTCACACGCGCACACACACAGGCGCACACACATGCACGTGCACACGCGTATCTCCCTCTGTGATAAAAATCCCCCTGTTATACAGCTGAAAAGCTCAGGTGTATGACTAAAACATCCCCCCCCCCCCCCCCCCATCACTCCCAACTACCAATACAAGCACAAATGAAATAGCAACATACTGTACACAAAAGCAAACATGCTTGGGGCTTTAATGCATTAGCTCGCTAACATGCTCATATTCTAACTGAAGCTAACTACCCTCCTTGCTCCTATATTGCATGCTAATTAATGCAGCTCTGCCCTCTGCAGACTTCCACGGCTAATTAACAGTGTTCTCTCTGTGACATCGGAGCTAGCCGGATCCCTGGGGAGACCACAGAGGACAGCTTTAAACTCGTACAGACTTCACCTCTGCAGGGACACTGGGGAGGGTAAGCTGATCCTAGATCTGTGGCTGTAGGGCACCTTCTACCTAACCTGTGGCTTGGGACAGTGGGGACTTTTATCATGTATGGAAGGGCACACTGAGTCGTGTGCCAGGGATGAACTGGGGGGAAGCAAACTGATGGTGTCATGTTCTTGAAGGAATATACAGTATCTCACAAAAGTGAGTACACCCCTCACATTTTTGTTAATATTTGAGTATATATTTTCATGTGACAACACTGAAGAAATTACACTTTGCTACAATGTAAAGTAGTGAGTGTACAGCTTGTATAACAGTGTACATTTGCTGTCCCCTCAAAATAACTCAACACACAGCCATTAATGTCTAAACCGCTGGCAACAAAAGTGAGTACACCCCTAAGTGAAAATGTCCAAATTGGGCCCAATTAGCCATTTTCCCTCCCCGGTGTCATGTGACTCGTTAGTGTTACAAGGTCTCAGGTGTGAATGGGGACCAGGTGTGTTAAATTTGGTGTCATCACTCTCACACTCCCTCATACTGGTCACTGGAAGTTCAACATGGCACCTCATGGCAAAGAACTCTCTGAGGATCTGAAAAAAAGAATTGTTGCTCTACATAAAGATGGCCTGGGTTATAAGAAGATTGCCAAGACCCTGAAACTGAGCTGCAGCACGGTGGCCAAGACCATACAGCGGTTTAACAGGACAGGTTCCACTCAGAACAGGCCTCGCCATGGTCGACCAAAGAAGTTGAGTGCACGTGCTCAGCGTCATATCCAGAGGTTGTCTTTGGGAAATAGACGTATGAGTGCTGCCAGCATTGCTGCAGAGGTTGAAGGGGTGGAGGGTCAGCCTGTCAGTGCTCAGACCATACGCCGCACACTGCATCAAATTGGTCTGCATGGCTGTCGTCCCAGAAGGAAGCCTCTTCTAAAGATGATGCACAAGAAAGCCCGCAAACAGTTTGCTGAAGACAAGCAGACCACAGGACATGGATTACTGGAACCATGTCCTGTGGTCTGATGAGACCAAGATAAGCTTATTTGGTTCAGATGGTGTCAAGCGTGTGTGGCGGCAACCAGGTGAGGAGTACAAAGACAAGTGTGTCTTGCCTACAGTCAAGCATGGTGGTGGGAGTGTCATGGTCTGGGGCTGCATGAGTGCTGCCGGCACTGGGGAGCTACAGTTCATTGAGGGAACCATGAATGCCAACATGTACTGTGACATACTGAAGCAGAGCATGATCCCCTCCCTTCAGAGACTGGGCCGCAGGGCAGTATTCCAACATGATAACGACCCCAAACACACCTCCAAGACGACCACTGCCTTGCTAAAGAAGCTGAGGGTAAAGGTGATGGACTGGCCAAGCATGTCTCCAGACCTAAACCCTATTGAGCATCTGTGGGGCATCCTCAAACGGAAGGTGGAGGAGTGCAAGGTCTCTAACATCCACCAGCTCTGTGATGTCGTCATGGAGGAGTGGAAGAGGACTCCAGTGGCAACCTGTGAAGCTCTGGTGAACTCCATGCCCAAGAGGGTTAAGGCAGTGCTGGAAAATGATGGTGGCCACACAAAATATTGACACTTTGGCCCCAATTTGGACATTTACACTTAGGGATGTGCTCACTTTTGTTGCCAGCGGTTTAGACATTAATGGCTGTGTGTTGTGTTATTTTGAGGGGACAGCAAATTTACACTGTTATACAAGCTGTACACTCACTACTTTACATTGTAGCAAAGTGTCATTTCTTCAGTGTTGTCACATGAAAAGATATACTCAAATATTAACCAAAATGTGAGGGGTGTACTCACTTTTGTGAGATACTGTATAGTGTACTCTGTTCGGTCAATTTGAAAGCAAGAAACAGATACAAATTGGCCTCGGAAATATTGCAGAAGTGAAATACGGTTGACCTGTTGCCTGTTTGACCATCTAAAAACTTAAAAGCAGCACCTTGGTGACAGAAAAACACAGACCCATACTAAGCCACAACTCCGTGGTCATAGAAAATCACAGGCTCATTTTGAGACACAGCACCACGACACTGAAGCTTCTGGCTCCCAGAACAGTTTCTTTCCACTTGTGTCTCCTGTCCCTGGCTGCCTCCCAAATGGCACCCTATTCCCTATACAGTGGGGAAAAAAAGTATTTAGTCAGCCACCAATTGTGCAAGTTCTCTGAGAGAGGCCTGTAATTTTCATCATAGGTACACGTCAACTATGACAGACAAAATGAGATTTTTTTTCTCCAGAAAATCACATTGTAGGATTTTTTATGAATTTATTTGCAAATTATGGTGGAAAATAAGTATTTGGTCAATAACAAAAGTTTCTCAATACTTTGTTATATACCCTTTGTTGGCAATGACACAAGTCAAACGTTTTCTGTAAGTCTTCACAAGGTTTTCACACACTGTTGCTGGTATTTTGGCCCATTCCTCCATGTAGATCTCCTCTAGAGCAGTGATGTTTTGGGGCTGTCGCTGGGCAACACGGACTTTCAACTCCCTCCAAAGATTTTCTATGGGGTTGAGATCTGGAGACTGGCTAGGCCACTCCAGGACCTTGAAATGCTTCTTACAAAGCCACTCCTTCGTTGCCCGGGCGGTGTGTTTGGGATCATTGTCATGCTGAAAGACCCAGCCACGTTTCATCTTCAATGCCCTTGCTGATGGAAGGAAGTTTTCACTCAAAATCTCACGATACATGGCCCCATTCATTCTTTCCTTTACACAGATCAGTCGTCCTGGTCCCTTTGCAGAAAAACAGCCCCAAAGCATGATGTTTCCACCCCCATGCTTCACAGTAGGTATGGTGTTCTTTGGATGCAACTCAGCATTCTTTGTCCTCCAAACACGACGAGTTGAGTTTTTACCAAAAAGTTCTATTTTGGTTTCATCTGACCATATGACATTCTCCCAATCCTCTTCTGGATCATCCAAATGCACTCTAGCAAACTTCAGACGGGCCTGGACATGTACTGGCTTAAGCAGGGGGACACGTCTGGCACTGCAGGATTTGAGTCCCTGGCGGCGTAGTGTGTTACTGATGGTAGGCTTTGTTACTTTGGTCCCAGCTCTCTGCAGGTCATTCACTAGGTCCCCCCGTGTGGTTCTGGGATTTTTGCTCACCGTTCTTGTGATCATTTTGACCCCACGGGGTGAGATCTTGCGTGGAGCCCCAGATCGAGGGAGATTATCAGTGGTCTTGTATGTCTTCCATTTCCTAATAATTGCTCCCACAGTTGATTTCTTCAAACCAAGCTGCTTACCTATTGCAGATTCAGTCTTCCCAGCCTGGTGCAGTTCTACAATTTTGTTTCTGGTGTCCTTTGACAGCTCTTTGGTCTTGGCCATAGTGGAGTTTGGAGTGTGACTGTTTTGAGGTTGTGGACAGGTGTCTTTTATACTGATAACAAGTTCAAACAGGTGCCATTAATACAGGTAACGAGTGGAGGACAGAGGAGCCTCTTAAAGAAGAAGTTACAGGTCTGTGAGAGCCAGAAATCTTGCTTGTTTGTAGGTGACCAAATACTTATTTTCCACCATAATTTGCAAATAAATTCATGAAAAATCCTACAATGTGATTTTCAGGATTTTTTTTTCTCAATTTGTCTGTCATAGTTGACGTGTACCTATGATGAAAATTACAGGCCTCTCTCATCTTTTTAAGTGGGAGAACTTGCACAATTGGTGGCTGACTAAATACTTTTTTTTCCCCCACTGTAGTGCACTGCTTTTGACCAGGGACCATAAGGGAAATATGGTGCCATTTGGGACTCCTCCCCACCCCTCCGTCTAAAGCAGGCATCACTCCTCACTCCTCACTGTCTGACTGTCTAGAGACTCTTAGTTGAACCAGCAGGACACCATGTGTACGTTCTGGCACACTGGTGTGATTCGGGACTTGGAAAGGATAGCATAAATATGACTGAGGAACTAAATAGGTAGATCCTAACTGTAACCACAGAGCTCTAAGCCAGATAACCAGGGGGTGTAATAGATTTATAATAACATGGTAATAAAAGGTTATTAACTCATTATAAAGAGGTTATAATGGTTCTAATAACGACCTGTATAATAACATTGTTTTAAAATCAGTACTGTCAGTAGTCGGTGTGACTGTTGTGCTAAATGAGGGGAAACTAAGTGTGACTGTTCTGCTAAATGAGGTGAAACTGAGTGTGAATGTTCTGCTAAATGAGGGGAAACTGAGTGTGACTGTTCTACTAAATGAGGGGAAACTGAAAGTGACCGTTCAGCTAAATGAGGTGAAACTGAGTATGACTGTTCTGCTAAATGAGGGGAAACTGAGTGTGACTGTTCTGCTAAATGAGGGGAAACTGAGTGTGACTGTTCTATTAAATGAGGGGAAACTGAAAGTGACCGTTCAGCTAAATGAGGTGAAACTGAGTATGACTGTTCTGCTAAATGAGGGGAAACTGAGTGTGACTGTTCTGCTAAATGAGGGGAAACTGAGTGTGACTGTTCTGCTAAATGAGGGGAAACTGAAAGTGACCGTTCAGCTAAATGAGGTGAAACTGAGTATGACTGTTCTGCTAAATGAGGGGAAACTGAGTGTGACTGTTCTGCTAAATGAGGGGAAACTGAGTGTGACTGTTCTGCTAAATGAGGGGAAACTGAGTGTGACTATTCTGCTAAATGAGGGGAAACTGAGTGTGATTGTTCTACTAAATGAGGGAAAACTGAGTGTGACTGTTCTGCTAAATGAGGGGAAACTGAGTGTGACTATTCTGCTAAATGAGGGGAAACTGAGTGTGATTGTTCTACTAAATGAGGGGAAACTGAGTGTGACTGTATGATAGACACAGTGTGTGTGCATGTGTGTATGACACCAGTCTAGGCGTGACAGGTAGACAGACAGGTTTCTCTACCAGTGAGCACTGCTGCTCTCCAGCTGCTTGTTCTAGAAAGTAATCCCCAGACACACACACATCACAGACACACACACTCACAGACACAGACACACACACACACACACACTGTCTGACAGCAAAATAAAGAAGCTAATGTATGAGGGAAGAATGAAGTGTAGAGCAAGTCTGTACGTGAGAGAGAGTTTGTGTTTTTAGAACTGTATGTCAGTGCGTGTGTAGCCCTTCCCTGCCAGCCCACTAGGTGTCCTCTTTGTTGGCGCCTTGGACACGATGCGGCTGAGCGGTTTCTATGGTAACTCCCCTGCCAAACTCACCTCCGGGGAAGGGGGGTGAATGTGTACTCTCAAAACACCAGAGTTCTTCTAAAACAATGAATGTGTGTGTGTGTGTGCATGTGTGTGTGTGTGTGTGTGTGTGTGTGACTCATACTAACCTTTCTGCACCAGCATTTCGTTGAGTTCGTACTTGTCCACCAGGCTCTGAACCTGTTCAGGTTTGAGAGGAGGGTAGAGGATCTCGTTGAGACGAGGGTCTCTCTGTCGGATGTTTATAAAGTCAGTCAGCTGCTCCACTGTCAGGTAGGGTTTGCTTTTTGCTCCACTAGACACAGGAGAGGAGAGAGAGAGGGAGGAGATCAGAGGAGAGGAGAAAGGGAGAGAGGGATGAGAGGGAGGAGAGAGGGAGGAGAAGCAGGGAACAAGATATGAGAGAAGATAATTGCATAGAAAGAGAATGAAAGAGGGAAAGAGATAAGGAAAGGGAGGATCAAATGTGTCAATTATGAGATCTGATTAAAAATCCTTTCATATCCCTGTCTCTACCAGAACATATCGAATGCATAGCTCTCTTCCTTCCCACCCTCTCTCTCCCTCCCCTCTCTCTCTTTCTCTCTCTCTCTCTCTTTCTCTCTGTCACGCTCTCTGTCTCTCTCCCTCTCTCCCTCTCTCTCTCTCTGTCCCTCTCTCTCTCTCTCTCTCTCTCTCTCTCTGTCTCTCTCTCTATCTCTCTGTCTCTCTCTCTCTCGCTCTCTCTCGTGTCCTATCACTTCTGTCTAATTAAAATGTGTAAGTATGATTTAAATTTGCGTTGGTTGCTCTGGCGTAAAGCCAGAACCTTTATAATGCTAAAGTTTAGCTTAAGTACTAAGCTTGATAGTTCTGGGTAGCTCTGAGTGACAGTTGTCTTACACTTCAGAGAAGATATTGTCTATTTCTGGTCGAGGACAGATGTTGGTGAGGAACACTTTGTAGATCTCTGGAGTGAAGTCTTCTTGCGGAATAGAATCACTCTGGAGAGAGAAAGAGAGAAAAATCACAGAGAAAAAAGTAACAGATGCCCGGTCAATATACGGACAACTTACAGGACAGTCAAAATGACACCAGAATGTCTAACAGGGTTCCAACTCAGGAAGTACATTTACATTGACTGAACTGAAATGGAATTGACCCCATCATTCTGAAGGCCAGGCAGCGGGTGGCAGGTGGCCTAGCTGTTAGAGAGTTGGGCCAGTAATCGAAAGGTCACTGGTTTGAATACCCGAGCTGACAAGGTGTAAAATCTGTCGATGTGCCCTTGAGCAAGGCACTTAACCCTAATTTGCTCCAGAGGCAAAGAACTACTATGGCTGACCCTGTAAAACAACACATTTCACTGCACCTATGCAGTGTATGTGACAATAAAACATATTTTTTATTTTATTATTTTTTGTGAGGTTAGCAGCGATAATGTTATGTTTTAATTAATAGTACAAAGCAACACAACAAATCCCAGCAGACCTTCAAACAGCCATACATCTCTCCCCCCCTGCAGCTAATTATCAACCCTCTGGGTTAATGTGTGTGTGTGTTTGTATGTGTGTGTATGTTTGCATGCGTACATTGGCGTGTGTGTGTGTGCGTGCGTACATTGGCGTATGTGTGTGTGTGTGTGTGTGTGTACATTGGCGTGTGTGTGTGTGTTACTAATTGCTTGCTATTCCTTGCAGACAGTGTTCTTTTACTGTGACAAATAGCACATTAGTGGAAGTACAGAGAATACAGAGGCTTTTCCCCTGTGACATCTGGCTGGGGGAAACAACTTCTGTCATCACACACAGACAGACACAGGCATACGTGCGCATGCACGTACACACACACAAACGCGCACTCTCTCTCTCTCTCTCTCTCTCTCTCATGATGGGAAGTCATGTGAATGACTATAAAGGATGAATCCAAACCAATTACATTCCCTGAATAGCAATTATGATCAGATCTGCTGTTGTATGGAACGTTACTGTGTGGATGAATGATAGAGAGAGAGAGAGAGAGAGAGAGAGAGTGTCACGATCGTCGAAGGAGGAGGACCAAGGCGCAGCGTGGAATGCGAACATATTTATTTAAATAATGATCACACGAACAAAACAACAAACGATAACGTGACGTCCTTGGTTACATACACAAACCAACACGGAACAAGAAACCACACCAAATGAATGCCTAACGGCTACCTAAGTATGGCTCCCAATCAGAGATAACGAGCTACAGCCGTCTCTGATTGGGAGCCACCCTGGCCAACATAGAAATACAAAACTAGACTATCACCCTAGCACACAAAACACAAAGAAACAACACACCCTGGCTCAACATAACAGAGTCCCAGAGCCAGGGCGTGACAGTACCCCCCCCCAAAGGCGCGGACTGCGACCGCGCCAAACATAAACCGAACAGGGGAGGGCATTCCTCCTCGGAGGCGGTTCCGGCTCCGGGCTTGACCCCCACCCTCCAACCAACCCCCCAAAGCGCCCCTGGTCCGGTCTGGCCCTGCTGGCCGGAGCTGGACTGAACACTGGTGGAGCGGATTGCTCTAGCTCCGGAGTGGAGCAGCTGACCGGTGCCGGACCAGGCACCGGTGGAACAGGCACGGGCTGTGCTGGACTGATGACGCGCACCACAGGCTTGGTGCGGGGAGCAGGGACGGGCCGGACCGGGCTGACGACGCGCACCATTGGCTTGGTGCGGGGAGCAGGGACGGGCCGAACCGGGCTGACGAAGCGCACCACTGGTTTGGTGCGGGGAGCAGGAACAGGCCGGACCGGGCTGACGACGCGCAACATTGGCTTGGTGCGGGGAGCAGGAACAGGCCGGACCGGGCTGACGACGCGCACCATTGGCTTGGTGCGGGGAGCAGGGACGGGCCGAACCGGGCTGACGAAGCGCACCACTGGCTTGGTGCGGGGAGCAGGAACAGGCCGGACCGGGCTGACGACGCGCACCATTGGCTTGGTGCGGGGAGCAGGGACGGGCCGAACCGGGCTGGGGACACACACCACTGGCCCTACGCGGGGATCAGGATCAGGAACGGGCCGGACCGGACTGGTAACACACCCCAGTACCTCTCGCCGTGCCTCTACACTTTCCTCCCCTTTTGTGACCAGTGGCCCCCGTAACCTGGCGGCCTCCTCTACTAACCGCTCTATCGCGGCCTCCTGCTGCCCCGTCGTCCACGGCGTGAGCCCCCCCCCTAAAAATTTTCTGGGAGTCTTTCCTCCCCGTGGACCAGGCCTCCATAGTTCTCGCCCAACTCTCGCTCTTCTGCTTCCAACTCCAGCCTCTCTCCTCCTCACACGGCTTGACCCAGTCGAGGTGGAACAGGAGATCCGCTAGAGATTCCCCTGGCGATGGCTCCTGGACACGCTGCTTGGTCCAGTTTTGGTGGTTTCTTCTGTCACGATCGTCGAAGGAGGAGGACCAAGGCGCAGCGTGGAATGCGAACATATTTATTTAAATAATGATCACACGAACAAAACAAAAAACGATAACGTGACGTCCTTGGTTACATACACAAACCAACACGGAACAAGAAACCACACCAAATGAATGCCAAACGGCTACCTAAGTATGGCTCCCAATCAGAGATAACGAGCTACAGCCGTCTCTGATTGGGAGCCACCCTGGCCAACATAGAAATACAAAACTAGACTATACCCAGACACAAAAACGAAGAAGAAACAACACACGGCTCAGCGCGACAGATAGAGAGTAGAGCCAGAGAGCAGGAGAGGCGTGAGAAACAGAGAGAGGAGAGAGGAGAGAGAGAGAGAGAGAGAGAGAGAGAGAGAATAGGAGAGAGAGAGAGAGAGAGAGAGAGAGCGAGAGAGAGAGAGAGAGAGAGAGAGAGATAGAGAGAGAGAGAGAGAGAGAGAGAGAGAGAGAGAGGAGGTTGATAGCTTGAGAATTTAAAAAAGATAGCATATAAATGATGAATGGAGATGAACAGACCTGGAAACAGGGATAGATCGGCAGAGGAAGAGTGATAAAATGATAGAGAGAGCTTCTTACCCGTCCAGAAGGGAGGTTGCAGTTCTCCAGAGCTGTCTCCACTCGTTTCCTGTCTGCTGAGAACATCCTGAAGATACTGACGAAACAACGGTTACATCATCACACACACACACACACACACCTCAGGAACATTGATACAGCATCAAACACTCTATACAGCAGGGATCATCAACTAGATTCAGCCACGGGCCGGAACATAATTACAAGTAATTTGTAGACTGCAAATTGACCGCAAGAAGCCTAAACAGATATAATATTTGACTAAAACAATAATTACAAACCTTTCTTACATTTGTATACAATCACATGTGCCTCTCTATTATGCGTGGGAATCCTTGGGAACAGATTCCCAAAATTAAAATCACTTGGAGCTGATTTCCTGGTGTTTTTACAGTCGTACAAGTCCAACAATGAAAATAGAAAAATTTACAAATGTAAAAAAAAAATCTGAAAACTTGGGGGGCCAAATAAAACCACCCGCAGGCCAAATTGGACCCGCAGGCTGCCAGTTGGGGAACCTCTGCAGAACCATTCATACAGGCAGCATTACACATCATACACATACCAGATAAGCATTATTAACAACATCATAGACAATGGAGAATCTTTTCATATAGCCTTACACACATTGGAGAAGCATTAATACAACATCATATACACCCTTTTATTCAGCCTCACACAAACCCCAGAACCATCCATATAATGTCACACACACCACAGAACCATCCATATGTTACACACACCACAGAACCATCAATAACCCAGCAGATAAAGGCATCCATTCATTATCTATAATACCCAGAGAAATATGTCAAGCCAACTTCCTGATTCTACTTCCTTCTTGCGGCAAATAGAGTAAAAAGTAGAGCCATTAAATGTTAATGTTTGACTTTCCTCCTCCGTAATCTTTGTGTGGAGAGGTGTGGCGGTGATGATCCATAAGCACATAAATCTTTATTAGGATTGAAAGTCAAGCTGACATAAGACTGCATTGTGCTTAACCATGAAGCTAATACCCTAAAAAGAGGAGTAGCAAGAGGGGAGATGAGGAGAGGCGAAGAGCGAGAGGAGGAGAGCGAGGCGCGAGACGCACTGCGATCTCTCTCTCTCTCTCTCTCTCTCTCTCTCTCTCTCTCACACTCTCACTCTATCTCAGTTTCTCTCTCTCCCTCTCTCTACCCTCTCTCTCCCACACACACACCCCTCTCTCTCCCTGTTGACACTCAGTGTTTGCCATTATAGTTCTGAGTGAGGTTATCACAGGGGCTTTCCACTGCTTTCCACTACACTACTAGTCTGGGGTGATCGTGCTCAGAGTTCCCTGCTGACTACTGTCTCCACTCAGACTGAGCAGATAGACAGAGAGGAGGAGTAGAGATGGAGGGAGAGATAGAAGAGGGAGAGGAGAGACGGATGGAGAGAGAGATGGAGGGAGCACTGCACCCATCTCCACTAAGACACAGCAAGGACAGACAGACAGACACAGACAGACAGATGTGCCCTCCAAAGGAGGAGAGAGGGATAGAGGAGATGATACTGTAGGTAGACAGAGAGACACAAAGTGAGAGCGGGGTAAAGGGAGCAAGATATAAAGGAAGAGAGATGGAGATAGGGTTGATCTGTCTCCTCATATCTTCAGAGAGAGAGAGGGTGAGAGTGAGAAAGAGAGAAAGAGAGAGAGAGAGAGAGAGAGAGAAGAGAGAGAGAAAGAGAGAAAAAGAGAGAAAAAGCAAAAGAGAGAGAGAGACTTACTTCTTGACAGGGATGCATCCCTCAGAGTTGAGCTGTAGCTTCAGTCGTGTGTATCTGTAGGATAGAGGACATGACAGATTAGATATGGGCCTTTAAATAAATAATGGGGCCAATGTGTGAAATTGGGATCAACATTTCAAAATGGTTTGAAACAAAAATAAAAACGATTTTTATCCAGTTCCACATGTGTACTTAGAGGAATATATGCAAATTGACCCATAACTCCACCTATACAACAACATAGGCCTAGGACGATACATCCTTTAAGCATGGTTCATAAAGACATTAACAAGTCGAATTCAAGGACTTTTAGGGACTTTTTCAGGCAATTAATTGTAATTTTTTAAGGACCTCAATATTATACAATTGTATAATTTATATAATTGTACATATAGGGCCTAACATAGAACCAACCCCCCCAAAAAGCAAAAAGTGTCAAAAAAGTAGGCCATTACCATTTTAAGAATAATGCATTTTTTTAGGCCTTGCCAATGCATTGATATTCAAATTATGAGTACATTCTAAAATCTGTGAGAATAATGTGGACTTGCCTGAATAAATACATTTCATGCATGCCTGCCGATTTTTCTGTAGCCTATGTGGCCAACGCAGGCACACATAATAAAGTCATGAATAGCAGTACCATTAATCTCACCATCTATATTTTTATAATGAGAAAGCGAACAAAAAACAGGTTTCTTTTGTAATGGAAGGATTTGTATGCAAAGCCAAGTTGAAGCCAGCATTAGATATTGTGGTCCTTATAATAACCGCAACAGAGTAACGCAACACCCTTCAACTTCAACTGAGGTGGCGGGAAGCAAACGAAAGTGGCCACATCTCTCACAAAAACGGATCAAAAATGAAATCACGGATAATTATAAGGGAGCAGGAGAACTTATAAATTGGATACAATAATTACAAGGACTTTGCAAGCAACAAATTGAGGACATTTGATTTTCAAGGTAGGCCTATTTCAGTAGTTGAATTTCTGAGCTCCAAATTCAAGTTCAAGTAGGCTACTTCAAGCCCCTTGTACTGTTTAAAATTGCAGGTATAACCAAAATGTATTTGTCATTTTATTTCATTACCATACCATATTGTGAAGAAGCCCACTAGGTTATGTAATTTGTTGGGGATTTGTGTGCCCATGAAAACTGTTTTCACCCCATAACATAAGGAGACACAAAATGTTACGTAGGTACACTGCATTTCTGAGATCTCTATACAAAAACCTGTCCGACAGCTAGATCCAGGATTCTTACAGGATTCAAGTTCAATGTCTAATTTAATTGATTAATGTTTAATATATGATATAACAACAGTTTACACTGCCATAAATGCAAGGACAGAAAAGTCATGTTTTATGTCACACAATATAATTGGACAAATCCGTCAAGACACCAACCATGAGAAAACATAGGTTTTAAATCAACTTGTGAATTTTATTGAATATAGCTATGATCCCCCCTTATATCTTAATGTAATGACATGAAGAATATTGGCAGATTATTATCAATGATTTATCGACAGCTGTAACAACTGTCCAGCGTAGGTAGTCCTCCCCGGTACCCTTGTTTATAGAAAGATCCATATACAGTACGTTATAAAAAGAGTGTGAGTGTGTGTGTGGTGAGTGTATGTGTGGAACACAGTGAGTGATTGCATAGGTCTGTGTGTTTACATTTTACCGAGCTGCACTCCACTAATCAGAGGAAGCGATGTGTTGGCGGTGTAGCCAGTCACAGATCTCTGTGTGCCATATATAGTCTGGAGACCTCTCTAGAAGAGAGAGCTCTCTCCTCTCTGATGAGAGAGAGAGAGGGAGCGAGAGAGAGAGCGAAGCGAGCGTCGCGAGGAGCTCTCTCTAGCTCTATATCTCTCCTCTCTCTCTCTACTCTCTCTCTCTCGTCTATCATCCCCCCTCTCTCTCGCTCTCTCTCTCTCTCTCTCTCTCTCTCTCTCTCTCTCTCTCTCTCTCTCTCTCTCTACTAGGCAAGGTGTAACAGAAGCAGGCATTATGCCCTGGCCCCTAAGTGGCTCTCGCTAATAATTAATGGTCATTATAGCGTCCACCTCTCTCTCAGTGGCTCCAGTGCCAGATGACGGGTAGGTCCAAAGTCAAGCCACTAATGGTTAACGGGGCCTCTGTAGCTCAATTGGTAGAGCATGGCGCTTGTAACGCCAGGGTAGTGGGTTCGAACCCGGGGACCACCCATACATAAAAATGTATGCACACATGACTGTAAGTCGCTTTGGATAAAAGCGTCTGCGAAATGGCATATTAACAACCACCCCTTTCTCTTTTAGAAATGGCCTTCTTGCTACACTTTTAGAGACTGAGGAAAATGAAAAGCACACCTGAATTGGCCAGGTGTAAGCTGGATGTAGCCCAAGACTCTGGCTGTAGTACAGACACATAGAGTTTGAGTGCAACGCTAATGATATGCCCACCAGGTTCCTGCAACGAGGGTATGATAAGGGTGTCATTGAACAGGCCTATACCCGTGCTAGAGAGACTGAACGTCAAAGCCTACTCACTGGCACTAATAGAAACCAGGACAAAACGCCCCCACGTTTGTGTTTTTCCACAGAGTACAGCTCATGTGCTGGTTGCGTCAAATCCATTGTATTGAAACACTGGAACATCCTCAAAAGTGATCAAAATCTACGAGAGTTCACAACATTGCCCCCTCGCATTTGTTTTTGCCGTGTGTGCAATTTAGACGATTCCGTCACGCACAGCATGCAGCTAACCAAGAAGTGTGACACTCGGCTCCCAGGCCCGCCCAATGGCAATTACAAGTGTGGCCACTGTGTACATTGTGACAATACGACCAATACTAACGTTTTTTACCACCTGAGAACAGGTCAAGAATACAAAATCCAAAGCTTCATTCATTGTTGCACCATAGATGTCATGTACATGCTCAAATGCATCTGCTGGGCTGCTTATATTGTTCAAACTAAACGAGCATTGAAACTCCACATCGCAGAACATAAGGTTGCTATTAGTAATAAAACATGATAAAACATGGACTATGTTATTCCTCCCTGCACTTTGTAGCCATAGAACATGTCCACATTTTACCAAGAGGAGGTGACATCGTACATAAACTAAAACAAAGAGAGGCATTCTGGCAGTACTTCGTAGGCACTGTGGATCCTAAGGGGCTAAACAATGATTATCCCTTGTTTCTATAATGTTGTGGCCTTGATTTTTTGGGTCTCTGTGTCTCCGGATTCACAGACACCCAAATATCACCTATGTACAGTATATTTTGACATGGCCTATTGATTAACGAGACACACCATTTCTCTTATTATTAGTATTATTTTGTGCTAGAATTTGCCATTTACCTTGAAACATATCATTATAATTGTTTTACATTGTTGCATCTCAATGGGCCACTAGGCTATAAATAGGAGCTACGTAAGTGCAATGGTCAGGTCACTCTGTGGAAGACGTCAGTCACCTGTCTGCATCCTGTACAATGGATTAAAGTGAGCTAAAATAAATCAATCTCTGCTTTTTTTGGTTGAGTGCTCCAACTCCTTTCTACCTTGAATGAGTCCTTTTGGAAGTGTTTCTTGGTAAGCCCTTCTCCTGTTTAAAACTAATCAAGGTCTTGATGAGAAGTTAATTAGCTAAAATAGGTGTGTTAGTACAGGGCTGGAACTAAAGCCTGCACATCCTGTGGGTCCCTATGACAAGGACTGAAGAATGCTGGTCTAGCCTGTGCCAGCCTGAGATGTTTATTTTCCAGATAAGGCAAAGCTATTTTCACTGCAGGAGTAAAACTGCTAACGTCAGAGTTTACAGGAAAGGCCACCGGCTGTTTACCAGGACCGGTTCCTACTGAGGAGAGGAGCCTGGTCCAATAACAATAACCTATGTTTCATCAAACAAACTGTCTCTCTTCAAAAAGTGGACTAGCTGGATTTATTTAGTGTGTGTGTGTGTATGTGCGCGTGTGTGCGCACGTGTGTGTGTGTGTAAGGGGACTTAGTTTATTTTGGTCAAAGTAAATTATGTGGTGCTGGGTCTTACTGAGAGGCTGGAGCTTTTCTTTTCAGCTCTATGGACAAGCATTCACTAGATGGTCAGTATGGCACAACACTGACGAGTACTAAGTATACGAAGAGGCAGGACGCAGACGCAGGAATTAACAAGGTCAAGGTTTACTTAACAATGACTAAGAGAAATAACAAAGATTGAGTAAACGACACGAAGCTAAACAATCACACACAACATCATACAGAACAGTCCAGGGCTAAATAGGGGTGGTGATGAGATGATGAGGTGCAGGTGCGCTGGAGGTGATTAGGGGGCGTTAGGTTTCCATTCCGGTGTTGCTGAGGTGGTGCGTTCAGACCGTTGGCTCAGTAGACCGGCGAATCAGAGCGCCGGAGGGGAGCAACGGAAGGAGACGTGACAGTACCCACCCCCTCGGACGCGTGGCTCCAGCCGCTGGACGTCGTCGGCCAGGAGGACGACCCTGAGAACGAGGAGCGGGCCGGTCAGGGCGGCGACGGTGGAAGTCCCGAATTAGGTTGGGGTCCAGAACGTCCCCAGCCGGAACCCAGCTCCTCTCCTCAGGACCAAACCCCTCCCAGTCCACCAGATAATGGAGCCGTCCCCCACGGAACCTGGAGTCCAGCAGGTCCCTCACCGCATACGCTGGACTCCTGTCAATGTCCAGGGGTGGAGGAGGCATACCCCGGGGGACGGCATCCGCCAGAGGACCAGGAACCACTGGCCTGAGGAGAGACACATGAAAAGTGGGTGAGACACGGTAGTGAGGGGGAAGGAGCAGCCGGTATGATACCTCATTTATCTGCCGGAGGATCTTAAATGGCTCCACAAACCGGGGGCTCAGTTTCTTGCAGGGCAGGCAGAGAGGGAGGTTTTTTGTGGACAGCCAGACACGATCCCTAGGCTGGAATACAGGGGCCTCACTGTGGTGGCGATCGGCTTGGTCCTTCTGCCGACGACTGGCCCTCTGGAGATGGACATGGGCGTCGTCCCAGACCTGTCCGGCCCTGTTGAACCACTCGTCGACAGCGAGCGCATCGGTCTGGCTGGGTGTCCAAGGGGCCAGGGCCGGCTGGTACCCCAGGACGCACTGGAAGGGAGTGAGCCCTGTGGAGGAGTGAATGAGGGAGTTCTGGGCATATTCTGCCCAGGGAAGAAACCTCGCCCACTCACCCTGCCGGTCCTGACAGTGGCAACGAAGAAACCTCCCCAGCTCCTGGTCCATGCGCTCCACCTGCCCATTCGACTGAGGCCTATACCCGGAAGTGAAGCTGGCCATGGCCCCGAACTTCTCCAGGAAAGCCTTCCACGCTCGGGAGGTGAATTGGGGGCCACGGTCCGAGACAATGTCCTCCGGAAGTCTATAATGCCGGAAGACCTGTTGGAACAGGACCTCAGCGACCTGGAGAGCAGAAGGAAGACCAGTTAGTGGCAAAAAAACGGCATGATTTGGAGAACCGATCTACGACCACCATGACTGTGGTGAAGCCGTCAGAACATGGAAGGTCGGTGACAAAGTCTATGGACAGGTGTGACCAAGGTCGCTGAGGCACTGGGAGGGGAACTAGTTTGCCTGCCGGGGCGTTCCGAGGTGTCTTCGTTTGGGCACATACGGAACAGGAGTTGACATAGCGGGAGACATCAGAAGCCAAGGTGGGCCACCAGTATTTTGGGGCTAGAGAATGCAGGGTGCGCGTAATACCAGAGTGCCCTGCCGTAAGGGTAGTGTGTGCCCAGATCAGCAGGCGGTCACGGACACTGGTGGGTACATACATGCGCCCCGGAGAGGCGTTGGCAGGTGCTGGGTCCTCATGAGCCGCCAGGCGGATGTCTTCATCCACATCACAAATGACAGGTGCAACGATGAGAGACGAGGGCAGGATAGGACCCCCCAGATCCTTCCTTTCTCCGGTATGGTGCATCCTGGAGAGTGCGTCGGCCTTCACATTCTGCTGTGAGGAGGGAGACACGTAGCCTTTAATGAAGAGAAGACATCGGAGAGATCTGCGTACTCACGTGGAATGTTGGGCTGGAGGGCGGACTCCGGACTCTCCACTGACGTGGAACAACAAACCACCGGAAGGCAGGTCTTTCGGCATGAGGTAGACCAGGCTGTGATCCTCTAGGTGCTCCAATTGATGGTGTGGTTGGTGATGATGATGGGGAGAGTGACGTGCGTAATGGTGCCTGATCCAAGGGGTTTATTGTCCAGTGAGGTGATGTGTAGCGGAGATGGCAGTGGCACGGTGCGCAACCCCCATTCAGAGACCAGCTCCCTATCTATAAGGTTCCCCGCTGATCCGGAATCTATCATAGCAGTAGAAATGGAAGAGAAGGAATAACCAGACACCGTTATGGGAACTAAAAACAATGGTTTTGTGATAGGAGATGACGTAACACTCACAGAGCGGCGAGCCGCCAGGAGATCTGTGGTCCGTAGTGGTGTAGGGGGTGCTGCCCACCTCCACGGGGGAGGACTCGGAAGCATGGCGGCTTCCATAGCTCAGATGGGGTGAGCGTCGAGGCTCCGGGAGGTGTTGGGAACGCTGTCTATCTCTCAACATGTCGTCAAGACGGATGGACGTGGTGATGAGGGTATCAAGGTCCATCTCGTCATTCCAAAATGCGAGTTCCGTCTTGATGTCCTCCCGTAAGCCTCTCCTGAAGGCCGTGCGCAGAGCACGCTCATTCCAGACGGAAAACGCCGCCACCGTGCGAAAGCTCAGAGCGTACTCGGACCCCTCTCTCTGTTGTAGATGGAGGAGACGCTCACCCCCGTCCTTTCCCTCCGTGGGATGATCAAACACCGCCCTGAAACGAGCGAGGAAGGTGGGGTAGGGTAGTGCCACTGCCTCCTCTCCTTCCCAGACTGCCATGGCCCAATCCAGTGCCTTTCCTTTAAGTAGCGAAATCACCAGCGCTATCCTGGCTTGGTCAGATGGATATGCCCAAGGCTGACGCACCAGATAAAGTGAAACCTGTAGCAGGAAGCCACTACATTGAGTAGTTTTACCGTCATAGCGCTCCGGTAGGGCGAGGGTTCCCGCAGAAGTGGGTGATAGCACGGGAACAGGTGGATTGGGGGCACTCGCCGCTCCCTGAGGTGGAACCGGAGTGCTGAGCAGATTATGCAGAGTTTGGAGCCCTTCCTGCATGGCGGCGTTCAACTGGGCAAGCTGCTGCTGGTGCTGGTCGAGGCGCTGGGAAACTCCTGCTGCATCCATTTTCGTTTGGTGTGTGATTCTGTGACGAGTACTGAGTATACGAAGAGGCAGGACGCAGACACAGGAATTAACAAGGTCAAGGTTTACTAAACAATGAGCAAGAGAAATAACAAAGATAGAGTAAACGACACGAAGCTTAACAATCACACACAACATCATCCAGAACAGTCCAGGGCTAAATAGGGGTGGTGATGAGATGATGAGGTGCAGGTGCGCTGGAGGTGTTTAGGGTGAGTTGGGTTTCCATTCCGATGTTGCCGAGGTGGTGCGCTCAGACCGGTGGCTCAGTAGACCGGCGAATCAGAGCGCCGGAGGGGAGCAATGGGAGGAGACGTGACAACAACATAACAGGACAGAACAGGACAGGACAGAACACAGCAGTTTAATGTATGTGTGTGTGTGTGTGTGTGTGTGTGTGTGTGTGTGTGTGTGAATCCATAGTTTGCATAGTTTAAATAGTACATAATAACATATCTTTATTACATATCAATACGGATATCATTATTTTGTACATCATGGTTACCAATTCTGATTGGTATCTAAAAACAAGGCTATTACAGGGGAAGAAGGAAACAGAGAGAGTAAATGAGAGAGATGGAGAAATAGAGAGAGGGAGAGAGAGGGAAAAGAGAGAGAGAGAGAGAGAGAGAGAGACAGAGAGAGAGAGAGAGAGAGAGAGAGAGTGAGGGGACAGAGAGAGAGAGAGAGACAGCGAGATGATAATGAGTTGCTAAGAGGAACCGAGGGAGGAGTCACAACACAGTCAACGGTCTATATGTGTGTGAGAGTGTGTGGATGTGGAGGTGAATGTGTGTGAATGTGCGCAAGTATGTGTGTGTATGCGTGTGTGTATGCATGTTTGTGTGTGTCTGTGTGTGTGTGTGGTGAGTGAGTGTAGATGTTGTCATAAAAAGTGATACATGTCGTCTGCAGCCCTTTCCATTTCCTCCACTCTCTCTTATCCAGCTTTCCTCCATCTCACCCTCACTCTCTCCCCCACTTTCACTCTCTCTCTTCCTCTCTCTCCCCACTTTCCCTCTCTCTCTTCCTCTCTCTCCCCATTATTCCTTCCACCTCTCTCTCTCTCTCTCTCTCTCTCTCTCTCTCTCTCTCTCTCTCTCTCTCTCTCTCTCTCTCTCTCTCTCTCTCTCAGGATGTAAGTATTGTGAAGCGATGTGAAGCGGGGTAGAGTGGCCCTCCACCCTGCAGCCTATCAGAAGGACTCTGATGGATGTGAAAAGCACTGCTACCTCTCAGTGTATGTGTGTGTGTGTGTGATGTGTCCAGGGACTTACGCTTTCTCCAGGCATGCTTCTCTGGACATATTCTGGGCCAATAGGTTAGACGCCAGGCCAAACAACTCTTCTGCCCACTCCTGTACCGGAAGAACACACACACACACACACACACACACACACACTGTCAGAGGGAAGAAACATAGCCGGAAGTATCTATTGGAGGTGCAAACTAGCCACCCACACACCAGACCTTATAATTACACACTGGAGGAATGATGTGTTCAGTGTAAGTCTAACAAGCTTAAATAACTCACACTTCATGGACTGAAATAGCTTAGTTATTCATTAATTAGCAATAAGCACTTGATACAGCCCTTATTTATAATATCTTCATTTAAGTGTTGGCCGACCTCCGAATATGACTAAATTTTGTCGACCATATCTGGTCAAATGAATATCAACAAAATCAATTAAACCCATAATACATCCTTTATTCATGTTTAATAAAGCCATTATTTATGTGTACTAAATAACTTATTCATGTTTCATAGATGTGTTATTATTATTTTCAGTATGAAAATGTATGCACTCACTAAACTGTAAGTCACTCTGGATAAGAGCGTCTGCTAAATGACAAAACATTTAAAATGTTATTAATGTGTATTTACCTTGGCGATCTCCTCCTGGAAGGCCATGAAGTTGAGGTATGTGATGTTGACCATGTCTGGTCCGCTCACCACCGTCAGCATCCTGTTCTCCATCTTCCCCACCAGGGTGCTCACGTCCAGCAGCTCGCGTAGCTTCAGGTCCTATTTAGACACAGAGACACAATAACACAGCAGGTAACAACTTCCCCATAGATGTATCCCTTCCCTCGCCCACATAGTACATGCATTTCACAAATACAGTATTACAACCACGGCAGCTCTAGCAGTCTAGAAACTTCTCAAAAATACCCACAATCCTCCCTCCCTGGTCTTTGACTTTGTGACTTCCTGGAAGCCCAAATCCAGGAAGTATCAGGAAGATATGACTCCCACTGTCTGGCACCTCTGCTATGACATCAACAACCTAATCAACCAACCAGATCACGATTTGGCGTCCTGAGAATGTGGAGAGTGGTTGTCTAGGTAACACATTAGACCGATTTGGTCTGAAATTATCAGCTCTTCAAGATGGAAGAGCCACAGAGCTGTGGTGTGTGTGTGTGTGTGCGTGCATGCGTGTTGTTGTATCATGGTATCCCAGTATATCCCAGGTGGTTGCTTCTCTAAATGATGAATGAGGTGAGTTACTGGATGTCTCCCCACAGGCTACAATGCAAAGGGCTTTCAATGATCACCATTACACTGCAACAGGAAACGTCTGTGTTTTCCTGAAGTGGCAGGTTTGGGGCAGACATGCTCAGTGAGTCTGACTTCACTGAGGGCGGCTGGCTGACTGACGCAACTGATCAATAAGAGATGTGACTTTAGGAGCTGACAGAATGGAGATTGGCAACGCATCATCATCATCATCATCATCCCATTGGGACCTGGCGGTTCAGCATCATAGAACGGCTTCTCTTAACGTCAGCTATGATGTCACACATAGACACGCACATATGCACGCACGCACACACTCACTCACAAACACACACACACAAGCACACACTCACAAACATACCAAGCTGTCACCAACCATTACTTTACCTAGGGCAGGCTTTATTAATCATCATTAATGTCCAAGTTATGAATGTATGTTGTTATGAATGTACTGTATGTTGTTATGAATGTACTGTATGTTGTTATGAATGTACTTGATGTTGTTATGAATGTACTGTATGTTGTTATGAATGTACTGCATGTTGTTATGAATGTACTGTATGTTGTTATGAATATACTGTATGTTGTTATGCATTTACTTAATGTTGTTATGAATGTACTGTATGTTGTTATGAATGTACTGTACGTTTGATAGAGGATTTGTATGTTTAGAGTAATGACTAAAAGTATTCCACCCCGATACTGTATGACTGTGTAAACTGTGTTAAAGTTATAAGACAATAAACCCACTAACAGAGAAGGGGGTTAGAAACTGCTGAGACAAACATTCCAGGAGAAAGGATACCTAGAAAATGTCAAACTTAAACATTCTGTACTGTGGAAATGTACAAGCCGCCTAAAGGTGGGCGGATCAAAGTCCTTTGTGTGGACGCATATAAAAAGGCTGTGTGTTTTTAGCGCCAGAGCGCTCTCTGAATAAAATTGCTGATCCATTGCAGACTGGAGAATTTGTTTAATTCTTAATTAACTAGAGCCATACAACCTCTGGGAATTATTCAAAGCTTGAGTTTTAGAGATAGAAATTCTCGTGACAATGTTGTTATGAATGTAATGTATGTTGTTATGAATGTACTGCATGTTGTTATGTATGGCTGCATGTTGTTATCAACATACTGTATGTTGTTATGAAAAGCTGCATGTTGTTATGTATGGCTGCATGTTGTTATAAATGGCTGCATGTTGCTATGAATGTACTGTATGTTGTTATGAATGTACTGTATGTTGTTATGAATGTACTGTATGTTGTTATGAATCCTGTATGTTGTTATGTATGGCTGTGTGTTGTTATGAACGTACTGCATGTTGTTATGTATGGCTGCATGTTGTTATGAATGTACTGTATGTTGTTATGTATGGCTGCATGTTGTTATGAATGTACTGTATGTTGTTATGTATGGCTGCATGTTGTTATGAATGTACTGCATGTTGTTATGTATGGCTGCATGTTGTTATGTATGGCTGCATGTTGTTATGTATGGCTGCATGTTGTTATGAACGTACTGCATGTTGTTATGTATGGCTGCATGTTGTTATGTATGGCTGCATGTTGTTATGAATGTACTGCATGTTGTTATGTATGGCTGCATGTTGTTATGTATGGCTGCATGTTGTTATGTATGGCTGCATGTTGTTATGTATGGCTGCATGTTGTTATGAATGTACTGCATGTTGTTATGTATGGCTGCATGTTGTTATGTATGGCTGCATGTTGTTATGTATGGCTGCATGTTGTTATAAATGGCTGTATGTTGCTATGAATGTACTGTATGTTGTTATGAATGTACTGTATGTTGTTATGAATGTAATGTATGTTGTTATGAATGTACTGCATGTTGTTATGAATGTACTGTATGTTGTTATGTATGGCTGCATGTTGTTATGAATGTACTGTATGTTGTTATGTATGGCTGCATGTTGTTATGAACGTACTGCATGTTGTTATGTATGGCTGCATGTTGTTATGAATGTACTGTATGTTGTTATGTATGGCTGCATGTTGTTATGAATGTACTGCATGTTGTTATGTATGGCTGCATGTTGTTATGAACGTACTGCATGTTGTTATGTATGGCTGCATGTTGTTATGTATGGCTGCATGTTGTTATAAATGGCTGCATGTTGTTATGTATGGCTGCATGTTGTTATAAATGGCTGCATGTTGCTATGAATGTACTGTATGTTGTTATGAATGTACTGTATGTTGTTATGAATGTACTGTATGTTGTTATGTATGGCTGCATGTTGTTATGAATGTACTGTATGTTGTTATGTATGGCTGCATGTTGTTATGAACGTACTGCATGTTGTTATGTATGGCTGCATGTTGTTATGTATGGCTGCATGTTGTTATAAATGGCTGCATGTTGTTATAAATGTACTGCATGTTGTTATGTATGGCTGCATGTTGTTATGTATGGCTGCATGTTGTTATGTATGGCTGCATGTTGTTATGTATGGCTGCATGTTGTTATGTATGGCTGCATGTTGTTATAAATGGCTGCATGTTGCTATGAATGTACTGTATGTTGTTATGAATGTACTGCATGTTGTTATAAATGGCTGCATGTTGCTATAAATGTACTGTATGTTGTTATGAATGTACTGCATGTTGTTATGAATGTACTGTATGTTGTTATGAATGTACTACATGTTGTTATGAATGTACTGCATGTTGTTATGTATGGCTGCATGTTGTTATGTATGGCTGCATGTTGTTATGTATGGCTGTATGTTGTTATAAATGGCTGCATGTTGCTATGAATGTACTGTATGTTGTTATGAATGTACTGTATGTTGTTATGAATGTCCTGTATGTTGTTATGAACGTACTGCATGTTGTTATGTATGGCTGCATGTTGTTATGAATGTACTGCATGTTGTTATGTATGGCTGCATGTTGTTATGAACGTACTGTATGTTGTTATGTATGGCTGCATGTTGTTATGAATGTACTGTATGTTGTTATGTATGGCTGCATGTTGTTATGTATGGCTGCATGTTGTTATGTATGGCTGCATGTTGTTATGTATGGCTGCATGTTGTTATGTATGGCTGCATGTTGTTATAAATGGCTGCATGTTGCTATGAATGTACTGTATGTTGTTATGAATGTACTGTATGTTGTTATGAATGTCCTGTATGTTGTTATGTATGACTGCATGTTGTTATGAATGTACTGTATGTTGTTATGTATGGCTGCATGTTGTTATGAATGTACTGCATGTTGTTATGTATGGCTGCATGTTGTTATGTATGGCTGCATGTTGTTATGTATGGCTGCATGTTGTTATGTATGGCTGCATGTTGTTATGTATGGCTGCATGTTGTTATGTATGGCTGCATGTTGTTATGTATGGCTGCATGTTGTTATGAATGTACTGCATGTTGTTATGTATGGCTGCATGTTGTTATGTATGGCTGCATGTTGTTATGTATGGCTGCATGTGGTAAATGCATCTCCTATATGATGCCTGTGAGACACTGTGTCTGTATAGCACCAGAGGTTGGGTAAACCATGCTTTTGTAATAAGTAACCTTTCATGAGACCGTAAAACTTGTCCCATAATATTTGTGAGACAACAATACCTGTTACGTTGTAAAAGTTATTCCTATAGGCTTTAGCTCAGTTGGATAACACAGTGCATGCAAAATACCTGGGTTCAATACCCAGTTGCTCACACTTGTATAACCAGTGAAATCGTTTATATGATGCCTCCACATTCAGTGAAGATGCTTGTCTGCTGCAGTGTAAATACACATTTTAAATGATATAGAAACATACAGACACAACCACTCATCTTCATGTAAACCATGTAAAAGCACAGAGCAACTGGCTCTGCCTCCAAGGCACCAGAAACAAATAACAATTATATTTTCTCTCCCCTTCGATATCAGGGCAGCATACAAAGTGGTTCTGCTAGCTTAATTAACACAACAAAAATAGTCTGCAAAGGATTTTGCCGCGGAAGCAGCGGAAGCAAATTAGTTCCCCACAAATGTACCCAATCAAACAAAGAGCATTCTGTGCTGTGTCACACTGATAAATGACCCATGGCAGACATCCTTCAGAGAAACGTATTCTGTCTACATTTACTGTACAGCATACTGATAGATAAAGAGACAGTTTACTATATGCAGGTGCTTTGCAGAAATAGAGTAAAGTAGCACTCTGCAAATTAATGGCAACCTCAACCTCCGCTGAAAGCATCCTAAACAGATCTCTGCCTGTATTATACACACAGACAGACACACTGACATACACAGCCTGGAATACACACAGACAGACACACAGAGGGAGAGTTGTGCTGCACAGCATGGGGTGGAGACTGGAGACCTGCAAGATCGATAGGCTGAAAAGTGCTGATTTAAATGGCCAATCAATCTTGCCGCACTTAGATATTTAAAATGGCAGCCACGTCATCAATCAGTGGATTGAAAAATCACTTTCAATTTGCTTAAACATAGAACGGCAAAGTGCCCCTCGGTAGCGATGGGCCTCTGATAGATGAGATGAGAAGGGTTTGGTGTTGAGACCCATCAAGATGCGTCAGAAAATCGAATGCATATTTCATTGATGGATTGTTGTTGTTTGAACAGAGGAGCCTTTTGATATAGTTTAGTATGCAACTTGTAGATGTTACAGGATAAGACAAGCTCATTTCCATACTTCTACAGCTGACTGTGTGTTGTTCAGAGAGAGAGAGAGAGAGAGAGAACAGCCCTGAGATTTAATTTGCGCTGGTGCATTGTGGGAGCAGTTGGAGGCGTGCCTGAGGGTCCTGTTGCCGCGGCGATGGGAGATTTAGAGCCAAGCCGGGGGGGGGGGGGGTTTGAGAGGAAAAGAGAGAGAGAAAGAGATTGGTGTGTGTGTGGAGGTGTCACAGCAGGATTATAGTGTGCCTGGGAATAAGGGTGTGTGTTGCTTGCTGACAGTTGTAGTGTGGGAACACAGTGTTCAGTCATTTTAAATATTCAGTACAGGGGAAGTGGTCCTCTTAGCAGGGTGATGCAGCCTGAAGGGATGGCCTTCCATGCTCCCTGGGCTGTAACCTGATACACACACACACACACACACACA